TTCGATGGACCGAACGTGCGGGGTCAATAAGATTACCTGAAACGAGGAGAGAGGGTGTGTGTGTTTGTGTGCTGGTGTTCAAAGCGGCCAATGAGATGCAGGAGGCATAAAAGGACGGGCGGAGCGTCCAAAGGGATATAAGCTGCTTCTCTCGTGGTCGTTCCCATGCTCCCTTGCCATTCACATTGCCGTCGCTGCCTATCCATGCCTATGTTGCTTGCTTTTATGTGACCTGTGAGGCGCAGATGGTATGAAGTTGGGAAGGCATCTCACCTGCATCACCAGCAATGTGATGTGGGAATGCAAGGTGTGGGCTGTAGAAGGATGAGGATGAAGCAAGTGTGGGATGTAGCAGGAAGGTGGCTTGGTATGTATGCTGCTTGGTGCAGGTGGTAGGACGTGCGATGCACCCCACGTGTAAGAGAAGCTTGAATTGAGAGAGCAGGGGTATGAGAACAAGGTGGGCTGTATGGGACGGGGGCGCAGGAATGTATAAGGGTGGCCAAATTGGCAGTATGCCTGCTAGCTATGGGGCATGCAGATGGGTGGAGGGGTGATGACAAAGAAGGAATGGGAAGGAAGGCATGCAGACAGTGCAGCTGAGGGCAGGGAAGGTGAGATCTCTGCAAGTTCAGATGAGGCATAGCACATTACCTAGTGAGGTGCCTGATTTTTGAAAGCCATTACAAGTGAGAGGAGGGCCTGCTACAAGACCCTGATGCATTGGCCATGTGGCTGCCGATTAGGGCCCTGATAGGATTACAGGGAGGGAGGTGAGCTGCTAAGTGTCGCGCCTGACATGGTTGCGTGGGAGACAAGAGGCACCCACGCTTTTGCATGTGTAGAACGTGTCGGAATAGTAGGTATAGTGAGAGGCCATAGCTAGGAGAACCCTAGCTAGGCAAGAGAGAATTGAACGGAAGAGGGGTTTTGCACTAGCAACAACGGTGGTACAAATAGCTAACCCTAGAAGGGCTGTACTCGCTATAGAGCACCCCACTGCAGGCTAGAGCATAATATTCTGACACACCCCCATAGCCAAAGTGGGGTGTAATCAGCACAGCAAGCAAAGCAGTAGAAGCTCAGGGTGGATCACGATGTCACCACACATTCTGAGCACATGAACAAGAAGCAAAAGTTTAAAGTTCACAATTATGGGTAAAGCTAAAGCTGTCACAGAGGGCAAGCGAGGAGGAGGAGGGCTGGTGAGATGAGAGAAGAGTGGAGGCGACGACTGAAGCTGCAGACACTCGGGCAACAGACGGCTCTGGTGCAACGCTGGTGGCTACCGGGAGGAGAAAGGCCCCGGAATACAGGAGTAACAGGCTCTGCAACTGATCAGCCAGCGACAGTAGCAACGGACCCACGGGTGACAGGTGCAACCGGCTCTCTGAGCTACCCCGGCTCCCCCCACCACAGAGGAACCCGCTCTCCCACAGTCGCCCGAGCTGATCACGTACCGCCGGCGACCCCTTCCCCCGCCCAAGCCTGCTAAGTCACCCTCTCCGACCCCGCTAGCCCCACCCTCTTCCCCGGTGGCTCATGGCACTCGCTCCCATCGCGCTACTCTTCCACTCGCGATGGTTCTTCGATACACCGCGATCACACCGCCTCCTCCTGCTGGGGGGGATGTGCCCTCTACCCTTCTAGAAGACAGGCATGAGGAACTGTGTGATCTCCATGCAGTCCTTCCTCAGCTCTCACACATCTTCCCCGACATCACTGGCTCACCCTCCCTCAACTTCGCGGAGAACCCGACCATCCCTATCCCTCTCACCGTCCAAGAGGCTCTCTCAGGCCCTCATTCTGCCAAATGGCGTGCTGCCATGGACGCGGAGATTGCAGCATTCACCCGCAACCACTCTTTCGACGACGAGACTCCACCTCCAGGAGTCAACATCGTCGGGGGCAAGTGGTTGTTCCGTGTAAAACAGCTCCCAGACGAGGCACCGGTGTTTAAAGCGCGCTACGTAGCCAAGGGCTTCACCCTCTTCCGTACGGGCCGCGCACGGGCCTGGCGCAGCCCGTACGGGCCGCGCGCAGGCCACGACGGGCGACGGGGGGGCGATTCGACGGTGGGGGGGTGCGCGCGGGTCCCCGGAGGCGACGCGAGGGTCGACGGGGGCGACGCGACGTGCAGGGTGGGGGCCGCGAGTGCTCCCCAGGGCGCCGCGACGGACGGGCGGGGTGCGCGCGGGCTCCCCCACGGCTGGAAACCGCCGCGCGCCTCGGCGCGCACGGCGGGCAGGGAACCGCCGCGCGCCCCGAGCGCGCGGCGGGATGAAAAATTGAAGGCCGCGCGCCACGGGGCGCGCAGCACAGAGTAGGGCAGCGGAAGCAGTAGTGGGGCCCACAGGCCAAGAGCGTAACCGCTCTGATAGCATGTCGGAATAGTAGGTATAGTGAGAGGCCATAGCTAGGAGAACCCTAGCTAGGCAAGAGAGAATTGAACGGAAGAGGGGTTTTGCACTAGCAACAACGGTGGTACAAATAGCTAACCCTAGAAGGGCTGTACTCGCTATAGAGCACCCCGCTGCAGGCTAGAGCATAATATTCTGACAGAACGCGTACAGAGAAACTTGTCCATGGGTGAAAACAGCGAGTGACAACCGCCCACCCCCACACGGGCCCCCGTGTGTGTGGGGTGGGGTGGGGTGGGGTGGGGGGTGGGGGGTGGTGAGGGTAAGAACTTTGTGCGGTCATTGCTCGGAGGTCCACCAACCCAGCCAGCTCCTACCATCCAGCAACCCCTGCCCAACAACCACCCCTCACTCACCACCATGGCAGCCCAAGGAAGAGGTAGGGCATCTCAGCCGCATGTTGTAACCCTCTCTTCCCCACCCAACCACACACACGCACACACACTTCCCCCCTCCCAACACACACAGCCTTACCACCCTTGTCATCAATTTATCTCCCACTCACTGCATCGCCGTATCTTCAGCCTCACTCCCATGCCCTTCTCACCACCTACCAGGGAGGAGGGAAGCAAGTGACAGCCAAAAGGCCAAGACCTCCACGCATGCCCTCCATCAGCTACAGCGCCTCCACCCATCATACGCACCCGGTCTCCCGTGCTCTTGTGTTCACATCCCCGCTCAATCCCCCCTTTGCACGTGCAATGTCGCCTCCTCTCTTGCATTTGGGGTGGGTGTAGATAAAAATAGCTACGCAATGTACCTGCATCATCTATCTAGCAAATAACTTTAGGCATGTAGTTATTCACAAGAATGCAATACCCAACTCAGCGAGTATGCTGCGACGTGCTCTATGCCCTCAAGAACGGGACGATGGATGCAATGGCCGAGTTATGATCGGGGTTACTGCTTGTGATACTCCAGAGCCGTCCGCACCTCCTGCTGGGTTCTTAAGCAAAGCTGAGGATGGAGTCATGGTGAAGCGTGCCCGCTCATATCTTGTTGCCCCTCTGTTTCCGCTCCCTCGGCAAACCTTCCAACACTCTCAACTTCTTCCCCAATGGGGCGTTGCCACTCCCTCAAGATATCGTCGACCCATCTCCAATCCATTAGACCAAACACCCTATCCCTCCGCCCTCGTCTAACCCGCATCATCTGTTTGGCACGTGTATCCATGTTATTCCAACGAAGAGCAGCCATAGCTATGCGCAGAGGATAGCTACCTTAGAAGCGAATGCGTTTCGATGCGTAATTTAGAATCAGTAAGTGGAAAGACTCGTTCATGAAATTGGTTGCGCCCTCCACTACAGCAACCTTGGATGAACTGAAGTGCTTTTCAAGCGACTCCTTCATCGCGCTATTAGTCCGTAAGTTAGGTTGATATACCGCATTTTCCTCATCCCAGTTTTCTGTCACACATCTTGGCGCACACGTTCCACACCTCCCATATCCTGAGTGAATGCTAACAAAGTGATCCGCTGCCAGACACAATTCTTTTGAAACATCCTTGGCTGATCGTGGGTGACCTGCTCGAGCACATACTCTGCAACACATCATGCTATGGTAGAAGTGCACAGCAAGATGGGTCAGTAACAGTGGACGCCTTCACCCTCACCCCTATCTCACTTTCATTGGTCACCCCTCCTGCTGTCCCGTTTCGTGTTCGCCTGCGTGGTGCACGCCGTCCACGTCGTTGCCTAGCTGCGCTACCTTGCCTTGTCTCAACCCCACTTTGCTGTTGACCGCCTATGTTGGGATTGGCAAGGGTACAACGTCGGTGGTTTGTAGAGTGGACACATAATTCCTAATGACTGTAGGGGAGAGGGAGGGTAGGCTAGAGGATGGAGGGATCGGGTGAACAGTGAGGAGAGAGCTTACTCTACCTTGTGTATTTACCTTGCCCGTCCGTCCCTTTGTCATGCGTGTCTGCATGTTTTTTGTTCCTGGCTGCGCTATCAGGTCTCGTCACAACACCACTTTGTTCTTGATCGCGTATGTTTGGATTAAGGTTACAAAATTGGAGGTTTGTAGAGCGAACGCACAAGAGAAGAAGATGGTTCTTAAAAATGAGTTGTGTAGGTAGAAAATCCAATAAGGTTTCATAAAAGAAGAAGATGCACCATGATACTACATATGAAACTAGGCGCATGTTGGTGACAAAATGGAAGTGCATGGATAATAGTAGAATGAAAAATTGATGGCTGTAGGAAAGGAGGGTTGAGGCTAGATGATGGAGGGATCGGGAAGGGAGTGAGAGGAGAGCTTGCTCCATGTGTCGCCCTTAGTTGCAAAAGACGCATCCTGCGTCTAAGACGGATGCGTCTAGACGCAATGTCTTAAACGCAAGACGCTCCATGTGGGCATAGGAGATGCTAAAAAAGACGCATGCCCGGGGTGGGCAAAAAAAACCCCCCGGGCAGCAAAAAAAAAAATAAATAGGGGAGGGGCATCGGTGCACACATTCATTGCAAAATTTTCCCCAACAACATATTCTTTCCTCAATAATTAAGATCAAGTTGAGTCACACATGTCACAAGGTCACATTCAATCCAATCACCCATCAACATGCATCAAGGCAACCAATCACACATCCTCATCCTCCTCCTCCTCCTCCTCCCCCTCCTCCTCCTCCTCTTCCTCCTCCTCCTCCTCCTCCTCCTCCTCCTCCTCCTCCTCCTCCTTCTCCATGTCTTCTTGGTGCTCGTACTCGTCGACGCACAAGTCGTCCCCGTCCACCCCCACCTCCCCATCCTCCTCCAACTTGTACCCCTCGGGAAGGAGAGTGGTGGGAATGTTCCCCTCCACTACCCCCGCCTTCCTTACTTCCCCGCTTGGCCCTACACCAGCCGCATCCTTGTGGTGGTTGTGCATGCTATCCCGCACAGCCCATCCCACTTGCACGAAGAAGCGGAAACAAGCTGTGCTCCCAGCCAGGTCGGCGTACTGCGAGCCGTTCACTTTCCACCATGTCACCATGTCCCCCTTCCCCTCCGCGTGCCCCTCTATCGCCTCCTCTGTCCCAAAGCACCCCTTGCCCTCAATATATGCCAACATACCCTCCTGCAGCGCCTTCATCGTTCCCTTCGTGTCGCCGGCGTTCTTCCAGTACTTGTCGACGAAGACCCTCGAGCGTGACAGCCAAGCCTTCATCACCCGGGTGCACTCAAACTCCTCTTTCTGGTTTATCGGGTTCAGAATCCGGCCTACCACGTGAAGGGCGCAGACCAAGCTGCCGTCCCAACGCCGCCTCAAATGCTCTTGCACCCCCTCCCTATCGGCCATTTTGAGCCGACAATCCGCACTCTCCAGCAGCGCCAACAACTCCTCCGTCAGCTGCAGCATGATGTTGTACAATGCCCCCATCATCCCTTTCACCGGCCCATCCGTCCTCCTCATCACCTTGTACGGCAGCTCAATCACATTCACAAAGGTATCCGCCTTCTTCCACCACTCAGTATCCCAAACCGACGCCTCAAAGTTCTGTCCAGTCTGCTGCTTCCTCCCCTTCTCCTCCCAGTCCTTGTGCACCACCATATCTGTATCTGCGTGCGAATCTGGCGCAAACGGCAAACTCCGAGGTACTATGTCCCAAAGCGCGTGCCCGCTATTCGCAGCGGCTGCAGCAACTTCTCCTCGCTGTACAGCTCAGGACTCCGCAGGAAGGCATGCACCCACTGGTGGATGCGCAAGAACGAGATCATGTCATTCGCAACCATGATGACCTGCACCAAATCCATCTTGCCGATGTCCTCCATCAATAATTCGAGCACATAAGTGGCGCAGGGAACGATCTCGATATGCAGATACTTCTGCAGGAACTTGGCGGCGGACACGTAGTTGCTGCCGCCGTCTGTGCAAATCGCGATGACGTGCTCCTGTCCAACCTTCTCGATGGTCGGCTTGAGGAGGTCAACGATAAACGCCCCGCTCTTTGTCTCTGCCTTACAGTCGACCACCTCTTCGAAAACCGCACCACTGGCGTTGATGCAAATGACGTTCTTTTGCGCGTGCCCAATCTTGTCCGCCATCATGTCGCTGGCGATCGTCACGTCTGTCTCCTTCCAAGTCTTCGTAATGGGCGCCAATCCTTTTTCAATCCGCTGCTTGCACTCCAACAGCCCGGCTCCTCCAACGTAGCTGCGCTTGGGGGGGACGTAGCCGTGTCCAGCTGCGGCAACAGCTCGCAGCATGTTGAGGAAGAGGGGTTGCTCGCACTGAAGCACCGCTGTGCGCGTCCCCGCAATGTAGAGGCAAACTGCTTCTTCGGCCGCACGCTTTGCCCAAATCCCCCCTCGCCATACCAGTCCTCCATCTGCCCGTGCATAGCCTTCGGTCCCGCTCCGTCTTGGCCGCTCACTGAAGTGAGCGCCGCATCCGTTGCACTCTCCTTATCCTTGAGCACCGTAAGTTTGGACTCCATGTCGCGAATGCCGTCAAATGCGCTTCGGGATTTCCGCGCAAACAATTCCGGCCTCGCGCCGAATGTTCGGGTCGTTCCATACGGTGAGATGCTAGGTGCACCGGCGGCTACTATTAAACGAAAACATTTTCTCGCACCAAAGGCACTCTGCTTGCGCCTGTTTAGTCGGATCGTTGAAAATCTAACAATGCTTATAAATAAAGTGAGTGGAATTTTGCGATTTCTTCTCCACCCCATCTTTAGTGCACCGCGGGAGGGGGGTGGGGGGGAGACTCGTAGACGGCATTATCATATTTAGATGCGGTGGAAGATGAAAGATTGGTGGAGGAAACCAGAACGATGGTGCGCTAAGTAGGTAAATAACTAGGGTCTAATGTGCCCCTCATACCCCATGTGCTCCTCACGTTCCATATGGCCCTCACACCCCAAACCAAACATGAGTAGAGGAATGAGCCCTTTTTTAAAGATAGCAGGCTCTCGCGAGGAAAAATAAGCACCGTGCATGTCGTATATCTTGAGACAAAACGCATGCACATCACTACCAGGTGCAAGGCAGTCAGCACCTAGGGGAACTGCAATGTGATCTAATACAAAAGAGGCACGTAAAGTACCCCCCGGGTATAAAATGGGCCATCGGAAGGCGCTTGGCCAGTGGGGTGTTAGCCGAGCACGCGAATGCCGTGCGTGTGTAATGACCGCCAGGATCAATGAAGGTGGGGGAAGCGTGTATGCATTCTCCGCATGCCAACTAATAGAAAAGGCATCGAAGCCACAGCAGAGGTGGAAGGCAGGCATAACATTGCACGTGGTGGTTGGTGGATGTCGCGAACAGCTCTATTGTATGGGGAGCTGAGTGTGGGAGTAGGCGGTAGTATGGGGAGGGGAGGTGAGTTGGGAGTTATGTGGTATGGTCAAGGGAGGTGAGCCAGGGATGATGTGGTTGGGACAGCAGAGCTGAGATGGGAGTACGAGGTTTGGGGAGAGGAGGTGAGAGGGGGAGGGGCGTGATCAGGGGGGAAGTGGGAAGAGTGAAATGAGAAATTTCGGTGAGCAGGGGGGAATGGGAGGGGGGAAAGGGAGTGAGCAATGTGAAATGGGTGAGAAAGAAAGAAAGTGGAAAGAAAGTGGGCAGGTGGGAGATAGGTTGAGTGAAGTGGCAAGGAAAGCGAGGATGGGTGAGATGGGATGAGCGAAGAGCAAAGAATGTGAGGACGCAAAAAATGGTATGAGGGAAGGGGAATGAAAGTGAGGAAGGGGAAATGGGATCGGTAAATAGGGGAAGAGAGTGAGCAGGGAAGAAATGGAATGAGTGAAGGGGGAAACAGAGTGGGCAAGGGAGAATGGTGAGGGTGACAAAGGAAAGGGAGTGAGCAGGGTGAAATGGGATGTGACAAGAGGGAGATAAAGTGACGTGGAGGAAATGGGACGAGTCATGGGAAAGGAGAGTGAGCAGGGGGGAGATGGGATGAGCGAAGGGGGAAAGAAAGTCAGCAAGGAAGGGGGGTGGGGGGGGGGGGGGAGAGAAGAAAATGACGGGGAAAGGAAGTGAGCAGTCGGGAATCAGGATGAGGGAAGGTGGGTAGAGAGTGCGCAAAGGGGAAATGGGATGATTGAAGTGGCAAAGGGTGTGAAGAGGGGGGAAATGGGAGGAGTGATAGGGGAAAGAAAGTGAGCAGGGGGAAATGGGATGAGGGAAAGGGTAAAGGAAGTGACCTGGGGAAAATGGGCTGAGTGAAGGGGAGGGGGAAATGGTATGCAGGCAGGGGGAAAGAAAGTGAGGACGGGGAAATGGTATGAGGGCAGGTGGAAATAAAGTGAGGACGGGGAAGTGGTATGAGGGCAGGGGGAAAGAAAGCGAGGACGGGGAAATGTTATGAGGGCGGGGGGGGAAAATGTTAGGACGGGGAAATGGGATCACTGAATGGGAAGGAGAGAGAGCAGGGGAAAATGGGACGCGTAAAGGGGAAATAAAAATGGTAAGGGGGGAAATTGGATGAATGAATGGGGAATGGGAGTGAGCAAGTGCGAAATTGGGTGTGTGTTAGGGGAAAGAAAGTGAGTGGGGGGGAAATGGGATGAGTGGAGGGGGAAAGGGCGTGAGCAGGGTGCAAATGGGAAGAGTGAATAAGGAAAGGGTGTGAGCAGCGTGAAATGGGATGAGCGAGGAGGGGAAGCAAATGAGCAGGGGGAAAATTGGATGAGTGAAGGGTGAAAGAAAGTCAGCGCGAGGGGGGGGGGGGAAGAGGGGGGGGGGGATCTGGGGAGAAATGGTGTTGATATAACCAAAGGATCTAGTGAATAGGATAAGTCTGCTATGAGTAGGAGGAGACAATAAGCCTTTGTGGTAACCTTGTTGAAAAGTAGTTAAAAGAGAACAAGATGATTAAAGATAGGAGTACAAGGGTTTAAAAAGCAAACTAGCTAGCCATGTACTCTGAGGGTACATTCCCTTACTAACTGTATTGCATAACTATAGTAATCGTGACTATTGTTATTCTCGACAGTTACCATGTTGCAGCGATAAACTGCCGTACGGTTACTGGTTGGTCAAGAGTCACGACCGTTGACTACCTTCGACTGTTGACCTTCGGGTGACTCTCGACCTTCCACGTGCTCTATATGAGATATCGTGGTGCTGGTACAATGCGTGGTTCTGCTAAGAACTGGCGCGTTAGTCGGAAACCTTAGGGAATGGTTATAATAACATTTCGGTTATTCAAACACTCCCCTTCATTCCTGAAGGTGAGCCACGTGGGATTTCTTGGTGATTCCGCTGAGGTTGGCGCAGCGTTGGAACTGTTGACGTGGCAGAAAATCTGCTGCCATGCCACCGGTCGGGCAGTATGTGAGCTTGACTCTCCCCTTGTCGATTTCGCCCTTGACGAAGAAGTAGCAAAGTGCAATGTGTTTCGTGCGGTTCACAAAGCCAGGATTTTAACGATTTTGATCGCACTCTGATTGTCGCAGAGTAACGTGAAGTGCCCATTCATCGTTACTTTCGCTTCCTGCAGAAGCTCCATCAGGTCGCGATAGTGCAGTACCGCCTTTGGTCGGCGGAACACCTCCCGACGCGAGACCTCGGCGAGAACTAGATGCAGACGGGAACAACTTTACCCGCCGAGATGGCAGGTGTCACGCCGCCGGCGAGGAACAGCGCGATTCCCGACCTCAACGAGCCTTACTTGGAGGTAGATGTAGACGCCGCTAGGGCAAATATTCCCGACGACCCGAGCACCCCCCTACTGCCAGGGATGAAAGAGGCACCCCAACCCGAGCCGGACCCGCAGGAGACTTCGCCGACCGAGCAGCCACCGCCGATTGGACCATTTCCAGAAAACGACTACACGTACCTGACAATAGAGGCCTTGCTGGCTACCAACGAAAAGGAAGACGACTTCCTGCAAAACATCCCGCGCGACGACTTTGCGGAAGCCGCCTTCGACGTCAACAAAGAGCTCTTAAAGAAGAACAGATTGCTGAGGATGATGTGGGGTCTGCGGCATCGGGACACGCTGGAGGCGAGAACGACTCGGGTTCAGTACCTGCAGGCGCTGCTCGAGTACAGGAGATGGTGCTGCAAGAACCTTCCAAGACAGAAAACCGCCAGAGTCAAGGGGGACGCCGTGCTGGAGCACGAGGAGGAGCTAGGGAGGTACATCGACGGCGGCATGGGTGATCAGTGGCCCACCGCCAAGGATGAGCTTCAATGGATGCACGGTCCATGCGTCAACGCTACGCGGATCAAGGCATACATTCTGTCAATGGCGAGGGAGACGAGGCCAAGGAGCTCGAGGAACTGAACCCCGACGTCCGTGTCCAGCCCCTGAAGGTGACAACCGTTTCGATGCTGCTCATGCGCATATGGCCTGCAAGGTCGAGGGGACGCACTTCGGAAGGAGCTCCACATCATGTACGACATCTCCGAGGTCCGCTCGGAGGTGTGTGCGATGGTCAGAGAGAAGTGGCACAGGGACGACAGGTAAGTCAACAAGTCGTCCCGCGCGGCTCACGCCTGTTTCCCTGTTCGTTCAGCTAACCCAGTCGTCGTGGGAACTGATGTGCAGGGATTGCGTCGACAGGCACCGCGGAATGCTCGGCGACACGTACACCACCGACCAGATCCGCCACCTCATGTTCAAGGTTCTGCCGACCTGGGCGGCTCGTGAGTACGAACCCAAGGCGGCCACCCCCTCCCAGACACTGTGGAAGTTCCTGCTGATGAAGACGATGACCCTCTTGGGTCACCACACCCTTCTCCGCGGAGCCAGTCTTCGGGCGATCAAGCTCCCCGACTTGTTCTTGTACAGAATGGGGTGCGTGTCGCCCGAGCACTCCACGCGACGGCCGGTTGTTATGGTCGTCGCGTCACAAAACTCAAAGACGAACAAGGATGCTCGTCTGCATCACAGCTACGCGGCGAGACACCTGGAGCAGGAGATGTGCGCCGTCGGTCACACACTGTTGTGGCTGCACTTCGTGTACGACCAGCTGAGCCGCTCGCCCACCTCTCGACTTGTGCCGCCCCTCGACTTCAGTACTCCTTACATGTGGTACCACAAGCACCTCTTTCATGCTCGGAACGACAAGACACAAAAAGAGCTGCCTGCTTCATCCCATTCTCGGATCACGAAAGAGATGTGGCGGACGAACAAGATCTTCATCACGCGCAACACCCACGCCGCCCGGGCAGGTGGGGCACAGGAGCTGGCCGACGGCGGAGTTCCGCGATCCGACATCGCCGACTTGGGCCACTGGGCGCTTGACAAGCTTTCGAAGAGCTAAATCACGACCATCCCAAAGGCGGCGGTGTTAAGGAAAGCCGGCTACACGGGCAAGCACGGCGATGACCACCTCGGCCGCAGCTTGGTGACGCCCGACCCCAAGGTGGTGGCCCTCATCGCCCAGCATATCTTTCCCTGGGCTGAAGCGGAACTGGACTAGGTGAGCATTTCTGACGATTGAGACGCTGACTTCCCGCCGACCATTTCCACGCCGACATTCCACCGATGGTTGATTGTGTGTGTTTGTGTTCGACACGCAGGCAGTAAGGTAAGCCACCGCGAGAGAGCCCAACACGGCCGGGGTGCACTTCCTACAATCGCTCATCGAGTTCGGCCGTCGAATCGTCGCCGAGGATCTGGCATGCATGCTGAAGCGCGAACCGTGGCACCCGTACGTCCAAAGTTCCAAGCTCTGCCGCAACCCCGACTTTCAGAAATGGGCCAAGGACGTCAACCGGGTGGACCTCGAGACCATCGCCACGCGCGGTACTCCGACCGAGAACCCCCAAGAGGTACGGCGTGCGCGTTCCAGCGACCTGTAAAACGAGTCGTCCTGCTACATTTGCTGACGCCTTGCCGGTCATTCCCCTTGGATCGCAGGAATTTAGCGCGCGAGTCGACGCCTTCCATCAGGTCGACCAGCTCACCATGATGCTGCACTGCCAGAGAGAGGATGCCGCGATCGAGAAGCTTGGGATGCAGAAGCAGCTGGAAGAGAAGGATGGGGAAATCGCGAGGTTGATGCAGGCTCTCAAGCTGGCCGAGGCACGGCCGACTGCGCCGGCACCGCCGACCACGAGGCCGATGACCGCCGACGAGAGGGCAGCGGCTGTCAAGATCGAGGAGCAGGACGACGACCTGACGTACGAGGTGAACGTCGTCCATCCCTGGCACACGTCCAAGACGGTCGAGGCTGCCTGGCGCTGGTGGAACTACCCGTCCAACTTCGACTCACGTCCCTTGCGCGAACGCTACGAGGAGCGCCGATTCCTCGTCAGACACACGCGCATGATACGCAAGGACGAAAAGGCCGACAAGCCCGCGGCGTCGGCGAAGTCGGCGAAGAGCTCTCGTGGCCGACAACCGCCGACCGACGAATGTCCCACGACCCCAGTGGGTGAGACGGGGAAGAACGATGAGCTGCAGAACTGCACTCGCCGGATGAGGCGGATCATGGAGGCCGTGCACAACATGCGGCGGAGCGAAGACGACGCTGACACCGCCGCCATGGTCAAACTACTCAATCACCCGGGGCGGGCGGGTCTTTCTACTTTCAGCAACGCTCTTTTGGTGGTCCGTGCAACCGCGCCCATCAAGGCCCCCACCACAACCGACGGCAAGTCGACCGGCATCAAGGGTCTGGACAAGCAGCAGTACAGGAAGCTGACCGTTGCGTGGGGCGTCGTCTCGGCGAGCTATGTGGAGCCTGATTGGGGAAAGAAGATCTTCGGCGACTTGTGGGAGGAGCGGGCCAAGAAGGTCGGCTCAGAGGCCGAGGCGACCGCGGGAGCGAGGGCGGAGTTTTCCGCCGCCGGGAAACGCAAGAGGGCGGGCTGAGGGTAGTGCGTCGGTCTCGGGCTTGTGGGGTGGGCTGAGGGTGGTGCGATTGAGGGTGGTCGAACGATGGTGGGCTGAATGTGGGCTGAGGGCGGGCTGTGGGTGGGCTTAGGGCGGGCTGTGGGTGGGCATTAGCGAGGGTGTCCGGCTTGTGCATGTGAAACGACATGTTTTTCTCTTAACATTTGCCAATGAGATACCAACTAGTGTGGCTTTTCCTGTCACTACTTGTACATGCATCAAGCCGACTCATCAAACCGACTTCACAAAACAACCGACTATCATGTTCACAGTCGCTAAAGAGGATTGGCAACACAGAACAACACAACAACGTGCTAAAGCGGCACAAATACTATTTATGCCACGGCGACAACGGTCGCCGTCGGAAAGCCTGCAGCATTTGCACCATCGCCGACCATGACAAGATCAGTCGGGACAGCGTTCGTCGACCTATGCGTCCACCATCTGCTTCCCTTTGTGCTGGCCCCTCGCCCCCCTGTCCCGAATGATAATCTTCATCTTGGGGTCGATTGGAAAGTCGACGCCGCGAGCTTTGAGCTTCGGGCCCCCGACAAAGCAGTCCCCCCAGAAGGCGAGGTTCTTTATTATGACACAAGCGATCAGCTCGTCGTGCTCGCACTCCTCTCCCTCCTCAGGCAACGACCTCACCACATCAGCGTGCAGGGCCTTCGTCACGGTTTCGGCGACCTCCCCGACGGCGACGTCCCAGGAGGACGCCCGCCGAAGCACCGCCAAGATGATGCTCGTACATCGACTCGCGAACGCAGGGGACGCTCCGCGCACAGTGGCTGCCGCCCCCCCTTCACCGACCGCTTGTTTCGGCGTGGCATTGGTCTCCGAAAAGCACCACACCGCGCACGCAGTCCCGGCGAGGATGGCCGACAAACGCTCCGACGTGACGCCCGAAATGGGTGAGACTTTCGCGACCACAGGTGCGTAGGTGGCACTCGTCGCAGCGCACGTGATCATGTCGCTCGCCATCTTGTTCTTGGCCGCCTTCTCGGGGTCGGTCGACTCCGGAAGGTCGCGGAACCACAGCGCCGGACCAAGAGCCGCCATGAGAGCTGCGCGGTCAACGCCGGTCAGCCTGTTGTACTCGTTGACGACCTCTTGGAACCTGCGAAGCAAAGCAACGCAACACGCAAACCGTCACCGATCGACCCCTACGTACCGACCGAAACGTAATTGAGCATTCGCCAAACGTACCTGTCGCGGAAGACGTTTGCGCCACGGCTCCACATGAGCATCCACATGCCGCACGGAATCAAGCGCGCCACCTCCCAGTCCGCCTTATACCGCTTCATCACTTTCGCGTCGACCCCAGCGAACTCGGCGAGTATGACGTCGCTCACGTAGCCGTCGAACGACGAAATGGCGACGGCGATGCAGTAGGCTGCCTCGGTCTTGTCCATCGACCGGCAGACGACGGCTCTTCTTGCCAAACTTCATCTCCGACGTGGCCAGCCCGTCTCCTTGTCAACGTGGACGCCTGAACCCTTCCGACCCTGCGTGGCCGCTTCAGCCGTCCCGACCTTGCCTGAACCCTTGCCTGAACCCTTGCCCTTGCGCTTGTGCTTCCCGTCGCCGACCGCACCGGTTGTGGCCGGGGGGGATTTGGAGCTAGTCGCGCTAGTGCCGACCACAGGTGTAGAGGAGGCAGCTGGTGTAACCCGCTGCGCTTCCACCGCGGGGGCTGCGTCTTGTAGTTTCTCCCGAAGGGCCTATATTTCGGGGTCCGGCATGACGATAGAGGCGAGGATGTCGGGGTCCACCCCGCCGGCCTCTTCCACCATTCCCCAAACAACTGCATCATCTGTTGTGACGCTCGCCCCTGCAGTCGCCGCCGTGATGTTCCCTGCCTCAGCTCCTTGGTCGACCGTCTGGTCGCTGGGCGTCGGAGGAATTTCTGAGCCTTTCTGATCCTCGAGCCATTTCAGATAGTCCTCGACCGATGCCCCCTTCGTGATAAGAGCCTGTACCGCATGTGAACTCGGCGCCGCCGGGATCGGTACCACTCGGACCACGCCGGCCCCATGACTAGGTAAGTTGACCGTGGTTGGCGGAAGCGGGTTCGGCAGCGACACAGTCGTCTCGACCACACCGGGTGTCCCGTGGGCAGTACCCGCTTGGTGAGGCGCTGGTGCCGGCGTCGACACAATTGCTGGTGTGGCAGCCTCGACCCCGCCGCTAGGTAGGACACCAGTCGCTCGCTGCTCGGTGCAGAAAGGCTCTTCGGCCAGCTGCGCCGCGACGCCACCCGGGCGTGCGCTACCTGCCGGACTCGTCGAGGTGTGGGGACGCTGGTCCGACCCGGGCTGCCCTCCCTGCTGGCCGACCACCGTCGCGGACCGCAGGAGGTCGTCGGCCAGCTACGCCGTGACGCCACCTGGGCGCGCGCTACCTGCCGGACTCGTCGAGGTGTGGGGACGCTGGTCCGACCCGGGCTGCCCTCCCTGCTGGCCGACCACCGTCGCGGACCGCAAGAGGTCGTCGTCCAGCTGCGTCGTGACGCCACCTGGGCGCGCGCTACTCGCCGGACTCGTTGCGGTGTGGAGACGCTGGCCCGACCCGGGCTGCCCTCCATGCTGGCCGACCACCGTTGCGTTGCGCAGGAGGTCGTCGGCCAGCCGCGCCGTGACGCCACCCGGTCGCACATCTTGAGCAGGCGCCGTGCTCGTCGAGGGATGAGGATGCTGGCCTGCAGTTGGCTGCCCTGCCTGCTGGCCGACCACCCATGCGAACCGCACGAGTTCGTTGGCTGGCCGCGCCGTGACGGCACCCGGTCGCGCGTCTTGAGCAGGCGCCGTGCTCGTCGAGGGGTGAGGATGCTGGCCTGCAGCTGCCTGCCCTCCCTGCTGGCCGACCACCGATGCGGACGGCACGAGGTTGTCGGCCGGCCGCGCCGTGACGGCACCCGGTCGCGCGTCTTGAGCATGCGCTGTGCTTGTCGAGGGGTGAGGATGCTGGCCCGCAGCGGTCTGCCCTCCCTGCTGGCCGACCACCGCTGCGGACTGCAGGGCCAGCTGCGCTGAGCCGCCGGTCGGTTGCGCAGTCGCCGTACTCGTCGAGAGTTGAACATGCTGGCCGACCACCGCTGCAATTTGCAGGGGCTCCCCGGCCATCTGCGCCGTGAGGCCGCTCGGTCGAACGCCTCCTGCATTCACCGGACTGGCCTCGGGCAGTGGCTGCCCGCCTGGATTCCTAACCGCGGGTGCCCCTCCCACGACACCGCCCAACAGATGCGTTTGGTCGCCGCACGGTAGCGCGTCGTGTGCGGTCGGCGGATTGGTCGCGGCCTGTGGCTGCTGGTCCCCCACGGGCTGCCCACCCTGCTTCCCAACCACCGGAGCTGGATCCTAGAGCACGTCGCCGCCCTGTCGAAATCAGCGCTCGGACGCGCGCCAAGACCATCTTTCAGCAAGTCGTGGACGCCTGGAATGCGAACATACGGGGCGGCAGGAGGTTCCACGGCCACACCGCGTTTCACCGCGGGTCCTCTGCTTCGCTTACTGCCGTTGGTCTGCTCGCCGGTCAGGGATTTTTCGTCGACGACCCTTTTTCCGCCGTGCCTTGGCGCCGGCCCATGCTCCTCGGCGGTTGAGCGACCGCCGTGCATCGCCGACGCGAGGGCATTTGGGAGGAGGCTAAACCCGGCGGCACCAAGTCCCTATTGGGTCACGGAGGTGACCGCCTTCACCACGACTTCCCTGAGGTCTTCGACGAGTTTCACGCTCACGGCGGCGGCGATCGCCTTCGCCTCGCTCTCCATGACGGCCTTCACCTCAGCAGACACGACCGTCTTGATCTTCTCGCCCAGAGAATCTGCCACACCTCGCAACAGCAGGGCGTCGTCTTCCCGCTGCCTATCGTTCGCTGCACCGGCCGCCAGGTGCAAGGCCTTGACGGTGGGCAGCCAGTTCTCGTTCATGTGTTCTATGAGGGAGCCGCGATAGTTCACCGCTTCCTGCACGGTCTCCCTCACAGCATCCACCACGACTTGGAGGCTCAACCCCGACGTCTGCTCGTGAGAAGTCACGCGGTCGGCGACCGTCGATAGCTTGTTGACAGCCGTAGAAACCGAGGAGAAGAGAGTGTCCATCCGCGTCATCTGGTTGTCCAGCCTCTTCTCCGCCACCGCCTTCTCCTCCCTCAGCTTCCTGTTCTCCCTCTCCGCCGCCCTCAAACGCTCCATGGCCGCTTTTGACGCCATCCTAGTCGTGGTCGAGCCACCGATCCCCCGCGCCTTCTTGCCCGATTTGGGTCCGCTGCCACCGCTCTTATCCGCAACCTTCTCACCGGCGAACTGCACTGCCTCCTCTTCGCCGGTGACCATCACGTCGTCGTCATCGCGCTCCTCGTCCTCCTCCTCCTCCTCGTCTAAGCCACCACCCTGCTCCCCGCCCCCCTCCTCGCCCTCCTCCCCGTGCTGCTCCTCGCCTCCATCTCCGGGTGCGTGCCCGACCGAGTGCGACCCCGCCGCAGCCTCCTCGGCCTCCCCACCCAGAGCGATGCCGGTTCCCACGCCACGACCCACGGTCGACGCCTCCCGTTTGCCCAGCATGGCCCTCTCCACGTAGTGCAGCAGCTCCAGTCGGAGTGCCTTGATGCCAACCAGCTTCGGGTTCTCGACGACAAGCGGATCGTAGCTGCGACGCACGTCGTCCAGATGGGCCAACGACCACGCGAACGCGGAGATCGCCAGCGGCCCAGTGCCGGCGGCCTCCTGGCTGAGGAAGTCGGGCAATTTCTGCATCAACGACGAAGCACGTGGCGACGACGACAATGGTGAGTCGATGGCTCGACTTATATATCCCAAGTAGCAAGGCGACATCGAAGTCAGAAACTCACATCACGGATGGGGGCGGCAACACTCGCCAGTCGTGCAGAGACGGTTTCGGCAGAAGGAGCCTTGTCCTTCCACACCCTTCCCGCACGCTTCAACTCCGCCTTCGCGGCTTCGCCGAAAAAGCTGCGCACTAACGACAAGGACAAGAGCCATTAGACACGGCGGCATAATCGCCCGTAGAGAGGAGCGCGACTAGCGGCCGACGTAGCCCCACCTCAAAAAACTGGCCGCCTCAGCCTCGTGCAGCTTGGAAGAGGTCTTGGGGTCGAGATGGCGGTAAAAGGTCCCGATCTCCTCATCGTCGGGCAAAAGCAGGTCGCCAGGGTGCACAACAAGCAGGACGCAGCAGTGCCTGCCGGGAAGAGGCCCGCCACTGTATGCACAAGAGGCAAAACGAAGACGTTTAGGGTTCTTTCCCGGAACAATTAGCAATGCGGTCGGCGACGATCAAGCCCCACCCGCGCAGAACTCTTACGTGGTAAGCAGGGGAACGGCCATGATTTCGTAGTCGAAGGCCCAGCCGAAAATCATATAGCCCGGCTTGGACGCCGCCCTGGCGACGCGAACCCGAGCACCGCACATCAGCGCCACCTTGTCGGATCCTCCCAGGCGATTGATCTCGGACCTGGGACAAGCAGGGGCGAAAGTGCGGGAGCAAGACACTTGCGCGGTGAGCTATGCCGCCAAGCCGACAGCGCAACAAGCCGACAAGGTCGCACGTCGGCGACGTCGCCGGCAGTTTGATCGACGGCGGCGACGTGGTGTCCATCTACTACGACGTCCAAGCGCTAAGTCGACCAGCGTGGAAGGACATCGTCGACCACGCTGGAAGCGGACGATGTCGACGCCGACCTAGAGACGACGTCGACCTATACGCGCGACAACCCTGTTAATGCTATCAATACATCCTCCACGCAATAAACTAGGGATGGTCGCTCACGCAAGGCCGAAGTCGAAGTAGCGTTCTGTGAACTCCAACTTCTCATCGCGAAGGACGTCGTAGACCTTCATCTCAAACGTCACTTTGTACCCCAAGTCGCCCACAGGCACGTCGAGGGGGAAATCGGCCGCAGTAAGTACATTCCTACTGGTCGCCATTCTAAAGATAACCTAGGAAGAGAGGGGGTGGCGCGAGGCAAGAAAAAAGAGGAAAGCGAAGTTGGAACGGAGAAATGACGGATGGAGTCCAACCCCCTGTCAAGAAATGGCCGTGGGCCGCCGGACGCCCACGGCAGCAGTCGGCCGCTCGGGGGCGACGCAGGCCGTGGCCGAGGGCGAGCCTCAGGCTTCGGCCCGAACCGGGCTTGCCCTCGGGGGGGTGCTTTGTGGTCCGGTCCGTGCATGGGTGGTCGGGGTGGGACAGCGAGCCACGTGTCCCCTCCCGAGGGGCCAGCGATGTTGACGAGGGTGGGGTTGGGGCCCCCGAGTTTCGCACCCAACCCGCCTGCCCGGCGAGGGCATCCAAAGAGGGTTACTAGGGCCTCGCGGGCACCGCGAAGCGAATCTCCGCCTCCGTGAAGGGGTTACTAGGCCCGTCTTCGCTCGCGCGCCAGTTCGCCACCCCGAGGGGGTAACGTGGGGTTCTGTAGCAATTAGGGGTGGGGGGCTGGGGTGGGGGTCGTGGGGGCCAGTCCCGCCCCGCGCCAGCCTGGCGGGGGAGTCACGCGAGGGAGTTGGCCGCCCTGACGCTCGGTCGACCGTCACCTCCTTGCGTCGGCCCAGGCAAAAAGGGAGCGTCACCCCGAATTCCGTTGAGCGATTCAGAGCTATAGAGCTCAGCGGACGAAAAATGCCGCCCATTTTCGCGGGCCAGAACGGACAACCCCCCTCCTCGGGGTTGTCGACCCCACGACGACCACCGCGTGGAAAGCCCAGGCGAGCTGGCTGGGCCCAGTGCTGGTGACCCCTCGGGATTGTCGACGACCTGTCGACCTTGGGTTCCGCTGAGACAATCCCGAGAAGGTCGTCTCAGCCGCGTGACGTCATCCCAGCTCGGCACGCGGGGCCGCGATGATCGCCACGCGGCCAAAAAAGAGACGTCCGAGATCGACCCCTGGATGGCGGGGCCATCGTGGACAGCCACGGTGGCCACGACGGGCCAACGGAAGGTGGGGGTGCTTCGCGTGGGAAAACTTCGCGCCCAAGCGTTGCCAGGTCGGTGCGTACCACACGGCCATCATCCAACGGTTGCCCACATGCCCAAGGCGAAATCCGACCGTCCACTACCTCTGCCTAGGTGCAGTGGATACTGGAGGGAATGTCGGCGTCGACCAGAAGGTCTTCATCGTGGTGCCACGCGGCAGTGTCTCCCGCCCTCGAACTACCGCGCTGGGACCACGCCACGTACCCCACCACAGAGCCAGCGTGTAACACCCATGAAAGGCGCACTATGAGCGAAGCGCTTCAAGCATGCACGCCCGGTGGCACGTCGGTCACGGCGCCGCCGCACGAGCGTACATGCATAGCTGCGTCCTGCACAGGGGTTTGCGTGGAGCACACAGTGGAGCGGAGTCGCTCACGACCATACCAATCTGGGGTCCAATTGCAGGTCGCTCATTCTGCCTGCCGTTCTCTGTGCTTTTCATCCGTTAGCTGGCACTTAGATTTTTTCCCCGTTCCCTTGACGGCTCGCCCTTAGTTTTTTTTCATCGGGAGTTTGTCGGCAGACGTGGAACGTCGGCGTCGTCAGAATAGTCAGACGTCGGGGCCGCCGTCTCGTAATGTTGTCTGCGATGCCGACCTGTCAGATACCGTCGACTTAGAATCGCCATGTTTCATTTCACCGACCTCACCACACCGACTTCCCATCGCGAGACCCTAGGTCACGGTATCATGGCCGGAGCACAGCCTCGCTCGACACCGCCGCAACCGCAGCCACCACCCGCCGACGTCGACATAACGGACGTTCCGAACCCCGCTAGCCAGGGTGAGGATGTCCGCCCGGTAGATCGTACACCGAACAGTAACCCCTCGTCGACGCTGCCCCTGCTTTACGATCTCGACGCCCTGGCCCAAATCCCGAAGGGAGAGTTCACCAAGGACGTTCCACCCGCGCCCATAGGGGAGTTCACGAAACCAAGCAAAGACACGTCGGCACCGACGAATGCAGCGGAGGCCGGGCCGTCGTCGGTGCCGGACGTAGCGGGCGACCAGGATGAGGGAATGGAAGACTATTCCTCGGCGAGCGACGAGGACGACGACGCCGACCCGCGGCCCCAACGTGGCAGAGGTCCGAAGACGTTGGAAGAAAAGCTCAGGTCGGAACGTGCGCTGATTGAGGAACTTCTGGACGAGGACGAGCTAGAGGATCTGCTGAACGCGTCTGTCCCTCGAGAACAGTGGAAGGCGGCCGACTTCGTAGAGGAAGATATGGTGTACGCGTGCGTCGACGTGCTCGTGATGGAGGCATTGCGCCACCTGAAAACCATCGAGGCTAAGAGCACGCTCCAGTCCTACATCTCATGGATCTACCACTACAAGCGGTGGGCCGCGAAGATGCTCAAAGAGATAGGCGACAAGCTGCCGATCGGGGATTAACTTGGCACGTCGACGAGATCGGGCACTGGATCCACTGCAACAAGAGCAAGGATTGGGACAACTCGAAGGTGGTCAAACAGAAGCACATCTGGCTGCACGGCCCCAAGGTCACTCAGACGCGGCTGCGCGCCTACGTCAAGTTCATGAGGCGGGAGTTCAAGATCGACGCCGAGACGAACGCGCCGGTGCCGTCCTACACGGTGCACATGATCCTCGGCCGCATCAAGGCATGCCAGATGGCGGCGAGGGTGGAAGCGACGCTGTACAAGGAGAAGGAGTTGGGCATCATGCGAGAAATCTCGGTTGTCCGGTCGGAGATGCGGGTCATGGTCCGCACCAAAAACCAGAGGGACATCAAGTAAGTTGGCATCCAGCGCCGTTTTCTAGTCGGTGACGATTTGTTCCCATCGCCCTAATAATCCTACCGCCGTATTGTTATGTCGACAGTAATTGCGCCGACCGTCGACGCGGCACCATCGGCGACACATACACCGCCGAACAGTTCCGCCAGATCATGACGAGGGTGCTGCCGGCTTGGGCGGCGTCGGCATGGAGCCCGCATTTCACCACTCCCTCGCAGACGCTGTGGAGGTTCCTTCTCGTCAAGGTGCTCACACTGCTCTCCCACCACAGCCTCATGCGCGGTGCAAGCATCCGCGATATCACGCTCCCCGACATCTTCTTGTACCGACTGGCGAGCACCTCGTCGGTAAACCCGGATAACCAGCCGGTCGTCATGGTGGTCGCCGCGCGGAACTCGAAGACGTCGAAGGATGCGCGTCTTCAGCAGAGCTACGCCGCGCGGCACCTCGAAGCGGAATTGTGCGCCGTCGGCGAGACCGGACTGTGGCTACACTTCATCCTCGACCAGATCGGCCAGTTTCACGGCGTCGACCTCATTCCGCCGGTCGACACCAGCACACGCGAGCGCTGGTACAAGAAGCACCTGTTCTTTGCCCGCAACGACCCCGAGCAGGGCGAACTCTCCGCTGCCAGCCACCAGCGATGGACGAGGCAGATGTGGAAGACGAACGGGGTGTTCTGCAAGCGGAACGTCAATGCCGCTCGGGCAGGCGGGGCGCAGGAGCTGGCCATCAACGGTACGCCTCGCGCCGAGATAGCCGAGCTGGGTCACTGGGCTCTCGACAAGATGACTCGAGCCTACATCACAGCCATTCCCGTCGGCGTGGTGATGAAGAAGGCCGGCTATTCGGGCTACACGCAGGACTACTTCTTGGGGCGCAGCAGGGTGGAACCGTCGGACGAGCTTCTCAAGCTCATCGCCGAGCACATCTTCCCCGGCGTCGACGAGCTCCTTAAGAATGTATGTCGACCAAGCATCGCATGGCACTGTACTTTCAACCACGGTAATTACCCACGTCTGTTGTCTAATTGCAGGCGGAAGAACTCGCGAAGAAGGGGTCCGACGCCGACGTTGCTGCCGTGCATTTCTGGCGCACCCTCCAGATGTTCCGCCGCATTGTCGCCGAGGACCTCGCTGTGAAACTCGTCCGCACGCCTTGGCACCCGTACGTCCAGTATTCCAAGCTCTGCCGGATTCCCCTCTTCCAGCACTGGGAAAAGAGGGTGGAGAAGACCGACACCGAGACCATCAAAAAGCGGCAAGACCCAACCCTCATCCAGCCAGAGGTGAGTCATCTTTATGTCGACATCGCCATGAGCACTGTGCCCGATGACAACACCTCACCTGCACCGTTTTTCGCCTACATTGCAGGAGATATTGGTCCGCCATGACGCCCAGTACGCGGTCGTCTCCCTCACAACGACGCTGAAGCTCGAGAGGGAGCGGTCAGCGGTCGAAATGATCGACCTCGAGGAGAAGCTCGAGCAGCGCGACGCTACCATCGCGTCGATAACGGACGAGATAACCCGCCTCACCGAGGCTCTCCGCGTTTCAGAAGCTCATAGGATGCCGGAGGCGCCGCCAGCTGCGAACGATCAATCGCCGAGCGACGGTGGCTCCGCGGAGTCGGCAAGCAGGGGTGACGGAGCCAAGAAACCCAAAAAACCCCCACAGACGGTCGAGGAGGCTAGCTACGAGCTGAACGTGGTTCAGCCTTGGCGGAATGCAACGACCGTGAGGGACGCGTGGCGCCTCTGGACCTCGTGCACCATCGCCGACACCCGTCGTCTGTGCGACAGGTTCTTCGAGCCGGGATTCGTCGACCGCCACACCCTCCTCGACGGAGCCTCGCAGGGAGCACACGGGACGAGGGTGCGCCGCATGATGACGGTAATCGATGCCGTGCGCCAGCTTCGCAGGAGCGACGGCGAAGCCGACACCGAAGCCGTCGTCGACGCGCTTAACACGATAGAGGCGCCTGGCATTGGGACCTTCTCGGATGCCCTCACGGTGCTCAACGCGGGCAACAAACCGACCTATGCCGGGTAGGGTAAGGGCGTCAAGGGGCTCGGCAAGACGGAATTTGCCAAGCTTCGTCTCGCCAGTGCGCTCGTGGCGCGCGGGTTCAAGCCGGAGAAGTTTGTCGCCGACCTGTTCCCGGACACATGGGAGGAGGGGATGAAGGCGGCGTTGGCCGACCTGGCCCGCGAAAACGACGCCGGGAAGCTGCCTCCGACCAAGAAGTCGACCAAGCGCAAGAAGACCGCGTGAATGCTCACAAGCAACATGCGATTGTGGGCTGTTGCATGTTGTAGATGATGTTGTTACAGCATGCATGTGTTTCGTACTTATACAGTTGTCGACTTTGAGTTTCTCACATTGCTCATGTGGTAGTTCTAACATAGTTAGTCACGTGTCGGCCTGGTATCCTTCGTGATGTCGACAAGATACTGGTTCAAATGTTCATTACACATCCTACATAAAGTCGACATGCACTCACACAAGGAAACGCAAAAATCCAGCATCAAAAGGGTCCGACAGCCGAAACACACAAAACGATATCGACCATAGCAGCATCAAATCCAAGCAACAATTAATCCAAGCTAGCAGTAGGCATAGCGCTACATATGCCCCTCCCCGACTACGCCGACTCCTTCGCCTTCTGGCCCTTCGTCCCCTTCTTCTCCGTGCCGCCCTTGGCCTTCGTCGCCTTCTTGCCCCTCTGACCCTTTCTCCCCCTGTTGTCGATATCGGCCTTCATCTGCGCGTCAATCGGCACCGCGATGCCCCTCGCTTTGAGTTTCGGCCCGGCGACGGGGCACATTCCCCAGAACGCCATCGTCTCGACCGTCGCTCTTGCGATCACGTCGGCATCGACTCCGGCATCCACCCCCGGATAGGCCATGTCAAGGGGGGTCCTCTTGAGTGCTGGCGCGACGTTGTAAGCAACCTCTCCCAGGGGGCGGTCCCTGTTGATCTCGGCGTTCAGCACCGCCTCCATGACTTTGCCGAATACATCGGCGGTCGCCTGGCTCGCTCCGCCCACAAGCGCCGCCGCCTTCCCTTCTTCCACAGCATCCTCCACCTGGGCATCGCCGTTCTCGACGAAGCACCACACAGCGCATGCGGATGCTCCTAACGCCCATGCCGCCATATCCGTCTTCTCGTCGCTGTCTCCCTCCTTTCTCGCCGCTGTCGCAGCGGTCTTCCCATACGCAACGCACATTGACACGCGGCCAATCAACGCGGACAGCATGGACGCCGACTTCTCTCGGCCTTCCTCGGTGTCGGGATCGACTGGGTACCATATCGCTGGCAGGAGCGCGGCGTGCAGCGCATCGCCAGTGGTCCTGTAATGTCGATACTTGTCGAGGATCTCATTCAGCCTGTCATGCCAGCACAACAAACAGGGCGAACATTAGTGACCACCACAACGACATCGACTTTGGGTAGGAGGAATGCCGACTTACCGTGTCTTTGGAAGGAGCGTTCCCCGGGCCCACATCACCGTCCACATCCCGGTCGGCAAGATCCTGACCTCCTCCCACACCTCCTTCCACCTCTCCAACTCGGCGCTGTCCAGGACGGTGAGCTCGTTCATGAGCACCTTGCTCACGAAACCGTCGTAGACGACGAACGCGATGGAGTGCACGTACGCGAGCTCCATCTTCTCACGCGACTTGCCGATGTATCGATTGATGCCGTGCACCTTAATCTCGCCGACCCATCCTAGCTTGTCGCCCGAGGTATCGTGTCGGATGCCATGACCCCGCCTCTCCTTGCTCTTCCCCCCCTCCTCCTCCTCCTCCTCCACCTCGACCTCCTCCTCCTCATCGTCCTCATCCGCCTCCTCCACCTCCTCCTCCGCCTCTTCTTCTTCCTCCTGCTCGACGTCCTCCACCTCCTCGACATCCTCCTCCGCCGCCTTCCGCTTTTCCTTTCTCCCTTTCGACGAACCATCGCCGACCGCCTTCTCCTTCCCCTTTCTCCCCGTCGACGCACCTTCTCCTACCGACTTGTCCTTCCCCTTCCTCCCCGTCGACGTACCCTCGCCGAGCGACTTCTGATTCTCCCCCGCTTTCCCTTTCACCCCCGTATTGCCGCCTCCATCCTTGTCAGCCGCCGTCTCAGCCGCCTTCCCCTTCCCTCTATCCGCCGCCTTCGCCTCCGACTTCTCCCGCGTCTTCCTCTGTGAGCCCGCCTTCCCCTTCCGTTTCGCCTTTCCATCGCCGACAGCATCACCGGTCGCAGTCGGCTCTGCTGGACTGCCGACGAGACTCGCCGAAGGCTCCACATGTGCCGTGTCGGAGATGGCCAGCGGTCGGGGCTTGGCAGCATTCAGGTGGGCCTGTATGGCAGCGATATCAGCATCGGGGGGCGCCTGCTCGACGGGGCCGCCGCCGGTGGCAAGGGCGGCACGAACGCCCTTCTCCGCCACCTTCTCAACCTCAGCTGCCACAGGGGTGGGTGGTGTGACTTTTGCCGACGACGTCTTAGCGTCGGAGCCAGAAGCCTGCTGAGTTGGCGCAGTCGACGCTAGTGCGCCCAGCTGGGCGCGCAGCAACGCGGACTTTGGGTCTGCAGGAGCACGGGTGGCGACGACCGGCGACTTTGGGACACTGGCAGATGGGGCGTCGACAGCAGCGGGGGGCTGTTGAACATCCTTGTGGCCGGCTAGGCGCCTGAGCTGCTCCTTGAGCGCGTCCGCAACTGCCGCCCCTTTCCCCGCGCGGCCAGCCTTGTCGGCAGAGCGCGGCAGAGCGCGGGACGTCGGCAGGTCGCCCGGCAGACGGTCCGGTCGGAGGGCGTGCACCAGCTGGGGGCTGGTGATGAACCGCTGACGCCACCGCGACCCCTGTCTTCGGGCCCTGGCCAGCTGGGGCCGTTTTTGCGCCCGCCTTCTCCTTGTCGCGCAGCCCTTCTTCACCGCTACCCTGTCGTGGTGGCTTATCGGCGACCGAAGGCGGAGCCCTTGGCAGTGCGTCATCAGTGGCATGCTCGTCGGCGGGACCCCCACCACCCTGATCAGTGCTGGCCGCTCGAACCCCAGCCCAGTGCTTCTTGAGCATGTCGAGCACGCTCTTCCCCGACTGCTTCCCCGAACTGCCTTCCCCGGCTCCCTTGCTCCCATCGCCGGCGACGCGAGAACCAACCGCTCCCTTGGTCTGCCTCGCGCTCGCCGAATCGTCTCCGTCCCCCCCCCCCCCCCCCCCCCTCCTTCTCCGGCCTTCTTGCTACCGTCGCCGGCGACGCGAGAACCCCCCGCTCCCTTGCTCCGCTTCGTGCTCCCCGCGTCGTCTCCGTCGCCCCCCCCGCCGCCTGCCCCCCTCTTCAGACCCTGCTTCGTGGCCTCCATAGGTTGCGCATGGCCGGCGTCGTTGGCCGACGGCGACGACCCACGCCGAGCTTGGGTCGCCACAGTGCCGACCATCTCGGTCATTATCTTCAAACCGGAGGCGAGGAAAGACTGCTGCGTGACCTCCGTCACCGCCTTCAGCAGATCCTCCTTGAATGAATTCAGGAACTCTTCCGGCAAGGCCTGCGCTGGGGTGGTCGGCGGCGGCGGCTGCACGACGAGGCGGGGAGACACGGCGGCTGCAATGTTGGTCTGCGCGGCGCCGATGTATTTTATGAACGTCTCCTCCAAAGCCTTCCTCGCCTCACCCACCTCACCCGTCACGTGGTCGGCCAATTGGTCCACCGCGGTCGCTCGAGCGACCGCCATTCGTCCGTTGGGGGCATCAATATCCAGCAGCATCTGCCTCGCTAGCTCGGCAAACCTCTTGCCCGATTCAACTGCGTTCTCCATGTTGCTGGTGAGGTCCTCGGTGATTGTGGCCGCCATGGTCGACGTGGCCTCTTTGAGGCGCTCCACCGATTTCCGGTCGGTGTCCGCAACCTGGGCGGTCAATGCCGTGAGCTTGTCGAGGATCCCAGCTACCGCCGCCGCCAAGCAGTCGACACGCCCCGCCTGATCACCGAGCTGCCGTTGCAAGCGTGCATTGTCGGCACGCAATTGTCGGTTCTCCGCACGCAGCTGCTCGACGACGTCCGGCATCGCCTGCCGACCAACTGCGGTGGAACTTGGATGACCGCTCACCGCCTTCTTTTTCCTGGACCGCTCCCCCCCGGCCTTCTCTCCGGTAGCATCGGTATGCATTTCCACGCCCGTCTGCTTCGTCGCCGCGGCGAAATCCCCATCTTCGTCGGCCTCGAGGTCGACAACTTCCTTCCCTTCGCCGACAACGACCATCCCACTCCCCCCGTGAGCCGCCTCCTCGCCGACCTCCTTGCTGGGTTCCGCTGTCGCCCCCTTCCCCTCTCCTTCGATTTCCGCCGATCTCCCACCCGTTTCCGCCGCTCCTTCTGCAACGTTCCCCTCCGCCATTTCCACGTCCACCTCTTCGTCATGCTGCTCCTCTTGCTGCTCGTGGTGCTGCCTCTCGTGCTCCTGCTTCTTCTGCTCCTGCTGCTCCTGCTCCTCCACCGACTCCGACACCGACTCCGACTCCGACTCCGACTCCTCCGAGCCCCCCTCATCCTCACGATCCGCCTCACGACCCTGGACCCCATCATCATCCCCATGAACAACCTCGTCCCGGTGCTTCTCCTCGGTCCCGGCCACCCCATGTCCTGCTGCCGCATCGGCCTCGTCGACGCCGCTACCCGGCTTCCCGACCGAGGTGCCACGCGCATCAGCGACGGCAGGGGCGACACCGCCAGCTTGGGGCGCCGACTGAACCTCCTCGCCGTCGTCGTCACAGACGTCGGCCGCAACTACGTTTCGGCCCGACCGTATGAGCGCGACCTGCTTCTTGATGAAGGCTACCATCTCAGTCCGCAGCCCCTTCAACCCCGCAACAGCGACCTTGTCCATGCTGGTGGCACTGCGACGGAGGGCGCCGGCCAACCGATCCTTCCGCCTCACCGCCCAGAGCAACGCGCTCATTGCTAGCAGGCCGGAGCCCACGTCCCCGTCCCGGACGGTGTCGGGCACTTTCTGCACACAACACAGGAGAGCGCTGATATGAGCACCGAGATCGGCAGTCGCATCTCGCAAGGACGAACGGCAGTTGCATCGCGCAAGGAATTGACACCAAACGTACGAAACTCACATCTCGAAGGGGTTCGTCGCAGTCGGCGAGCCTCGCATGCACCTCCTCCTCGGACGGCTTCGCCCAGTCCCATTTCCTACCTTCGCGCCGAAGCTCGGCCATTACAGCCGCCCGGAAAAACCTGCAAAGCATGGCACAGATGGTCAGTTAGCACGGTGCACGCTCCGCATTGACAACGCAAGCGGCGTCGACTACACTATTGAGCTCACTCCAGCACGCGTTTCGCCTCTTTGATGTGCCACTCCTTCACAGTCTGCGGGTCGGCGTGCCGGATCGAGGTCCTGATCAACTGGCCCGATGCCTTCAACAAGTCGCCGGGGCACAGGATGATAATGACGCTGCAATGTGTTCCCGGAAGCGGTGCGATGCTGCACAGACAATGGACGTCGACATAGATCAGAACACATAATCGACGCAGGTTGCACCACACGCGCGACGACCCCGAACACCCTCACCTCGATATCAGTGGGATAACCGCCACGTCGGCGTAAAAAACCTTCGCGAAGACGGTATGGTCGTTCTGACCCATCGCCGCCCTAAGACGGCCGACTCCTATCGACCACAGCCGCTGGTCCTCCTCCGTTCCGCGCAACCATGCGTGCCTGCACGCATGCATGATCAGGAGGAGTGCGTGAGGATGTGGTCGGGACGCCGGCCGATACTACGGTTGCGGCAATAACACGACGGGTCGGGGATTCGACGAGAGCCGAATGAATATGGCACAACGCATCGCCTACGCCGACCAGACACCTTACGTCGGCGCCACCGATGTGATCGACATCCCTAATCCCTAACCCATGAGTCCGTCGACCTAAAAGACGGGTATTATGAAACCACGCTAGGGCTATCACCAGCATGAAATAACGACGCCGACATCCCCATACGTCACTCACTTGAGGCCGAGTCCCAAGCAACGGGCGTTAAACTCTAGCATAGGGTTTGTCAGAACGGTGTAGTCGTGTTCCTCGAACTTGGATGTGAGTCCTCTACCGACGCTTAGATACAGGGGGAAGTCGCGCGAGGTCGGCGTCGCTTCGTCGGCTTTCTGGTCGGCCGCCATGGCGGGAGAGCGAGGATGCTATGCTATGGGCTGAGGGAAGAAACGGTGGGAGAATGGAAGGCGCTGAGGTGGGAAAAGAACATGAAAGAGAAACGAGAACGCGAAAATGAAGGGGACAACCCACCTCCAACGAAGAAAAGCCAGGCGGAGCCTCGCAGGCCCGGTTGGGCGTCGACCAGGGGGCCGTGGTCCCTGGCTCGGCAGGGCTCGTGCACGGGTGGCGTGGCACAAGTGCACCCTCGCCGCCGAGCCAGCAGGTCGACGTCACGTCCCCTGGCCTCGGTCGGCCAGGGGACGCAAATTCGCATGCACGCGGTGCGACGTTTCGGCACCACGTGTCGATTTCGCAGCGGGTCGCGAAAACCGTGCGCCTTGGTGCGAGAGACCCAGGACTTCGCTCGATTTTCGGCGGGTACGAAATCTCGCATGCATAGAAAAAACGATGCGAAACGACGGGCGGGCACGTGGCGTCACCGCAACGGGTCGCGAAATCGCCGATCGTCCCGAGGGGAGCCCCCGAATTTCGCACGGGCCTCGCCTGCCCGTACGGGCAGGCCGCGATGGGTTACTAGGACCTCGCGGGCAGGAGGGACGGGTGGGCTGCCTTCGCGCCGGGGTTACTTTCCCTCGCGCGAGGTCTCGCCAGCTCGCCGCCCCCACCCGGTAACGTGGGTCGCTGTTCACTTCCGGGGGGGGTTTTGCGGGGCGGCGGTCGTGCGCTCGGCCCAGCCCCGGGCCAGGCTGGCGGGCCCGCACGCGCGTCAGTCGCCCGCCTCGTCGGGCCCCCTTCCGTCGACCCCCCTCGTCGACCCTGGCAATCCGGCTCCGTCGACCGAATTCCGCTGGGATCTTCAGCTTTGAATTCCTCGCGTATACTTACCGATGCCTCGCCTGCAGCCTCCTAGTGTAGCCTCCTTTCTCGTCAGCCTCACCTTGTTTGCATTCGACGCGTCGCGATCCACTGCCGCCCAACGCGCGCCGCGCTTTAGAGTCCAATCAGGCAGCTGAGAATCCGACCCTGTCAGCAGACTAGCAACCGTGATACCGCTTCTCCTCTTCGCCGTCGTGATTCGCGTCGGAACTAGACCTAGCGCGAGCCAATGGCGACGGTGTGGAATCGCGTGCAGCGCATGTGGCGGGACCGGTGGCTGGGGCTCATCCTGGGCATGTGGCTGCAGGCGTGCGGGGGGATCTCGTACGCGTTCTCGTTATACTCCGCCGCGTTAAAAGACAAGCTACAGTACTCGCAGGAGGCAGTGGACGGCTTAGGAACCGCCAAGGACATCGGCGGGAACGTGGGGATTGTATCGGGTTTGCTGATCGACCTCATGCCCGCGTGGGCTATCCTCGCTATAGGCGCCGCCATGCATCTGTTCGGGTACTCCATGGTACACCACGCGCAGTGAAAGTTGTATCTGAGTGCACCAGTTTAGTTCTTTCATCCGCACGGCGCTCTCTGCTATCATCACTTGTCTCGCTTTCTGTCCTCCCCTCCCCTTTCCCCCCCATCTCCCCATCCCCCCCACCTATCCCTCTCCCTTTCCATCCCCTCTCCCCGTCCATTACCCTCCCCCTGTCATCCCTTCCGCCCAAATCCACACCTATCCATTTGGGTCCCACCTCCTCACCACCTTCCTGTTCCGCCTCCTCCCCCACCCTCTCAACCCCCGCCCCCCTCTCTTCCCCCCCGCCCCGCCTCCCCATCCCCCCCTCCCCCTCCCCCTCCCCCTCCCCACCAATCACGGTGTGCCAGCTGTACATGGCGTCCATGGGGATCACCCGCCCTCCGTTCTGGCAGGTGCGTTCCCTCCCCTCTCCCCTCCCCCCCTCCCCCTTCTTTTTCATCCAGCGGGAGAGTGAAGAAAAAGCATAGGTGGGGCAGCCATGCAGAAGAATCCGATTCAGGCGAGCCATGCTGTTTTCTTTCCTCCACTCGGTGAATCGCGTCTCTCAGGTGAACCGTGTTCGCTATCAGGTAGGTCCATGTCACGAGATTGACCTCGCGCCGTCACGCCGTGGACTCAATCCCCTCCCTTCTCCCTCGCATGCCCCTGGCAAGTGTATGGTATGGTTTGGCCGCAATGCAGTCAACCATTTTCTCGTGTGTGCCACTCATCATGAGTTGGGTCTCATGGGCGCATGGTCTCATGGGCGCATGGTCTCATGGGCGCATGGTCTCATGGGCGCATGGTCCCATCCATGCCGTGCCATGCCGTGCCACGGCACGGCGTGTGGCAGATGCATGCCATCCATCAGAGTCGGCTTGTTGAATCGTCTCAGAACTGAGAATCGCTTCTGCCTCGCCACGTGGCAGATGTGTGCGTTCATAATGCTGGGTACCAACGGAGCCACGTGGTTCAACACAGCCGTGCTCGTCACCTGGTGAGTTGCTCCACTACAACTAACATCCCCTGTCGCTCTCTTGCTGCACTGCACTGCACTGCACTGCACCTGCTCACGGTTTCCATGACCTCACATCACATGCTAGCCATGTGCATACAGCCAGTTTTCTGCTCCCGCCTCGAGCCCTGTGTCTCCTGCTCTCGCCTCGAGCCCTGTGTCTCCTGCTCTCGCCTCGAGCTCTGTGTCTCCTGCTCTCGCCTCGAGCCCTGTGTCTCCTGCTCTCGCCTCGAGCCCTGTGTCTCCTGCTCTCGCCTCGAGCCCTGTGTCTCCTGCTCTCGCCTCGAGCCCTGTGTCTCCTGCTCTCGCCTCGAGCCCTGTGTCTCCTGCTCTCGCCTCGAGCCCTGTGTCTCCTGCTCTCGCCTCGAGCCCTGTGTCTCCTGCTCTCGCCTCGAGCCCTGTGTCTCCTGCTCTCGCCTCGAGCCCTGTGTCTCCTGCTCTCGCCTCGAGCCCTGTGTGTCCTGCTCTCGCCTCAAGCCCTGTGTCTCCTGCTCTCGCCTCAAGCCCTGTGTCTCCTGCTCTCGCCTCAAGCCCTGTGTCTCCTGCTCTCGCCTCGAGCCCTGTGTCTCCTGCTCTCGCCTCAAGCCCTGTGTCTCCTGCTCTCGCCTCGAGCACTGTGTCTCCTGCTCTCGCCTCGAGCCCTGTGTCTCCTGCTCTCGCCTCAAGCCCTGTGTCTCCTGCTCTCGCCTCGAGCCCTGTGTCTCCTGCTCTCGCCTCGAGCCCTGTGTCTCCTGCTCTCGCCTCAAGCCCTGTGTCTCCTGCTCTCGCCTCGAGCCCTGTGTCTCCTGCTCTCGCCTCAAGCCCTGTGTCTCCTGCTCTCGCCTCGAGCCCTGTGTGTCCTGCTCTCGCCTCGAGCCCTGTGTCTCCTGCTCTCGCCTCAAGCCCTGTGTCTCCTGCTCTCGCCTCGAGCCCTGTGTCTCCTGCTCTCGCCTCGAGCCCTGTGTCTCCTGCTCTCGCCTCGAGCCCTGTGTCTCCTGCTCTCGCCTCGAGCCCTGTGTCTCCTGCTCTCTCCTCGAGCCCTGTGTCTCCTGCTCTCGCCTCAAGCCCTGTGTCTCCTGCTCTCGCCTCGAGCCCTGTGTCTCCTGCTCTCGCCTCAAGCCCTGTGTCTCCTGCTCTCGCCTCGAGCCCTGTGTCTCCTGCTCTCGCCTCGAGCCCTGTGTCTCCTGCTCTCGCCTCGAGCCCTGTGTCTCCTGCTCTCGCCTCGAGCCCTGTGTCTCCTGCTCTCGCCTCGAGCCCTGTGTCTCCTGATCTCGCCTCGAGCCCTGTGTCTCCTGCTCTCGCCTCGAGCCCTGTGTCTCCTGCTCTCGCCTCGAGCCCTGTGTCTCCTGATCTCGCCTCGAGCCCTGTGTCTCCTGCTCTCGCCTCGAGCCCTGTGTCTCCTGCTCTCGCCTCGAGCCCTGTGTGTCCTGCTCTCGCCTCGAGCCCTGTGTCTCCTGCTCTCGCCTCAAGCCCTGTGTCTCCTGCTCTCGCCTCGAGCCCTGTGTCTCCTGCTCTCGCCTCAAGCCCTGTCACCTGTGTCTCCTGCTCTCGCCTCAAGCCCTGTGTCTCCTGCTCTCGCCTCGAGCCCCGTGTCTCCTGCTCTCGCCTCGAGCCCTGTGTCTCCTGCTCTCGCCTCGAGCCCTGTGTGTCCTGCTCTCGCCTCGAGCCCTGTGTCTCCTGCTCTCGCCTCGAGCCCTGTGTCTCCTGCTCTCGCCTCGAGCCCTGTGTCTCCTGCTCTCGCCTCGAGCCCTGTGTCTCCTGCTCTCGCCTCGAGCCCTGTGTCTCCTGCTCTCGCCTCAAGCCCTGTGTCTCCTGCTCTCGCCTCGAGCCCTGTGTCTCCTGCTCTCGCCTCGAGCCCTGTGTCTCCTGCTCTCGCCTCGAGCCCTGTGTCTCCTGCTCTCGCCTCGAGCCCTGTGTCTCCTGCTCTCGCCTCGAGCCCTGTGTCTCCTGCTCTCGCCTCGAGCCCTGTGTGTCCTGCTCTCGCCTCGAGCCCTGTGTCTCCTGCTCTCGCCTCGAGCCCTGTGTCTCCTGCTCTCGCCTCGAGCCCTGTGTCTCCTGCTCTTTCTGCATGCATCTCATTCCATCTCCATCTCCTCCATTCACACGTATTGCCACCTTGATCCGCCTCCCAATCACCCCATCCCTTCTTCCCCCCACCGCACACCCTTCTCTCCACCATGGTCCACCGCACCTTTTCTCCCTCCCAACCCATGCTGTCGTTTCCCCATCCCACCCCTTCGCCGCCGCACCCTATCCCGCCTCTCTTTTTCCCCCCCAACGCCAACTTTTCAGCTCTCCCACGCTGTTCTCTCAACTTCCCCATTTCCCCTGTCCTCTCCCAACCCCCACCTTCTCCCCCCTCCTCCCTCCCCGCCCTTCCTGCACAGCATTCGCAACTTCGAGGGCGACAGGGGCGTGGTGGTGGGGCTGCTCAAGGGGTTCATCGGGCTCAGCGGAGCGATCTTCACACAGGTCGGTGAGACTGGGAGGGGCGTTGGATGGATGGCAGTGCCTGTGAGGATGGTGGGGCTTCATAGGGATGGTGGGGCTTCATAGGGATGGTGGGGCTTCATAGGGATGGTGGGGCTACAGCCATCATACGCTCTATTATCCGCTGCAATACGTATGAGAGTGGTGGGGATTAGGGAGTCTGGCACAGCCATCTTCACTCAGATCAGTCAGTTGAGGAAGGAACACGCAGAGCGGGAAGGCAAGTCTGTGCCTTGCCTCGATACCTCTCTTGTATCCGCTTTTCTCTCCCGCTTTATCCCTTATTTTCTCCTTTCTTCCACCCTGCCCTGAAGGGGGTGGGGTGGGTTGAGCTCTGTTGCACCCTTTACCCACCCTTACCCACCTCGAATCCCCTCCCCCCACCTCCGATCGCTGTCGTGCAGCTCTACTCTGCACTCTACACGCCCCACACCGCACCTTTTCTGCTGCTCTGTGCGCTGCTTCCCCCGCTGGTGGCGCTGCTGGCAATGGCAGTCATTCGCCCCATGAACCCTCACCTGCTCGCTGCTTCTAGGAGAGACACTGGGGACAACAGCCGGTTCCGCTTCCTCTACGTGCGTAGGCCATGTGACTTCTGAGTCGACTCAAACATCTTTCCCCATCCCTACGTGTATCCCCACCCCACATGCCTCGCTATATGCCTGTCATTCCCCCCGTGGACCTGCGACTTCTGGCCGCTGAGAAGAGAGATGTGCATGCCTGCGCATCCCTCTGGGCAGCATTATCCGCTTCCACTTCCTCCATGTGCATTGCCTGCCCTGCGCGTCCCTCTGTGTCATGCTGCCACTCTGCTTGCACATCCCTTTCCCCCTCTAATCCCACCATGCCCTGCCTTCCTTACCCCGCCCTTTCTCCCATCTGAGCTTGCTCGTTCACGTCCTCCATACCTCTTTCTCTCATGGCACTTGTCCCTTCCCCGTGCAGGTAGTGGGAGTGGGTCTTGCGCTCTATCTCATGCTTGCCATGACGCTGCAGGTATGCTAGCCGTAAAACCCATGCTCTGCTCCATCCTCTGCTTCTTGTTCTGCCTCCTGCTGGGAGTAGGCCTCAGGCCCTAGCTTATGCTCTAACTTATCCCCTGCCTCACGCCCTCTGCTTGCACATCCCTTTCCCCCTCTGATCCCACCATGCTCTCTTATCCTTAGCCTCATGCTCGTACCAGCTTCCAATCTGACGCTTATTCATATTGATGCCATGTCTTGTATATCGTTTCTGATATCCATGCCCCCTATGCCCCAACAATTTCCTACCCGTGCCCCATCTGCCCATCTGCGCATGACGCAGGAAACCCTGTCCCTCTCCCGCCCGTATCGGCTTGTTTCCATGGCTGGAATGTTGCTGCTGCTCGGCCTCCCCATCTCCCTCCCGGTATGCTGCTGCTCCCACTCTCCCCTCCCCTCACCTGTACACCCTTCTCCATTCTTTGTTAAGGTGCTGTCTGTCTTTCCTCCACCTCTGTAAATCCGGACAGACCATTCTCCTCTCAAAAGTTCCGTCGCCTTTTCTGCATCATCTATTTGAAACGTTCCTGGTCAAGTTGGAAAGCGTAGAAGCGACCACAAAGGGTCTGGACATGCAATGCAATGAGGATCCAACTGTTTAGATAATAAACTGATGTTATCAGTTATTTAGGAAGTTACTAATATGTCAGCTGGAATTTCTGCTGCCTTTCCTGCCGTCATGGCCCTTGCTTTCCATCACTCCCTCTCCCTCTCCCTTTCATCACCAAGCCCTCCACCAGAGTCTCCATTACTTACCATCTCCTCTCGCCCGTTTCACCTCCCTCTTCTTCCGGGCTCTCCTCTCCGAATCCTCACTCCGTCTCCACCCGCCCGTTCCCCGTCCCACTCTCACCACCCTTGCTCTGGCATCCCCGCCAGTGGGTCAAGGCAGGCAGCCCCGTGGGCTCCAAGCTGCCTCTCCACTCGCCCCACGAGTACCTCGACCAGCTGTCTTCCTCCACCACCTCCTTTAGCTTCAAGCCCTCTGCCACACGCATGGATCATTCCTCACTCCCTGATGACAACGACACCACTGGAAGCGAGTCGTACCCTCTGCTCACTGTTCCTGACAGCAGCAGCAATGGCAGTAGGCTCGGCAACAGCAGCGGCGGCAGCGGTAGGTTTGGCAACAACAGCAGCAGCGGCCGAGGTGGTGGAGGGGGTGTGATGAGCAGAAAAGGCAGCTGTGAGTCGTTTAGTGATACGGTAGGGAGCCCCCTTAAGGCCACCTCCTTTACAAGCACACCCGCCTCTCACAGCACTGTGGGGCGGGCGAGCGACTGGGAGGGGAGTCCCAGGGGGCGTGGGGGAGCAGCACTGGGGCAGGACGGCTCTGGCAACAGCACTGGCGGCAGCAGCAGTATGGCAGGGAGTGACATGGGAGGGCGTGTGGAGGGGAATGGCAGCGGTGTGGGTGGGTGTTGGGAAGGCGAGAAGGAGGGGAAGAGCCTGGAGGTTGAGGGGAGGAGCAGCCGTGGTGGAGGGATGGAGGGGGGCCGGGGACAGCTAGTGAGTGCCCCGCGCGTGGGTATGGATCACACGCTGCTGCAGGCTGCTGTCACTCCCGAGTACTGGTGAGTGTGTTCTCTTGGATCGTTATATGCAGTCTGATGTGTGCTGGCGAGGAGGCGAGTGTGGGTGGGGAGAGAGGAGCAGTGCTGGCATCCACAGATGGATGGGCTTTTTCTGGCTTTGTGCGGGTATAAACCACTCGGCTCTGTACAAACAAACCTCTCCTGTGGCGTTGAGCGTTGGAAGCTGGCAGACAGGGGTGTGCTGCTGTGGTAGGTACGTGGCGCTGGGTCATGTGCTCTGTGCATGTCTTCTCGATTATGTACCATGGACGGACGCAGGGAGGAGGGGAGGAGGGGAAGAGGGGAGGATGGAAGGAAGGGTGGGCGGGTTGATAGGGGCATCTTGAACCTGTACCATAATTATCCGCCAACTTGGCCGCACATTGCCTCCATTCTTTTCCTCCATCCCTCCTTCCGCCTCCCCATCTCAAACCCCTTTTCCACCTCCCAACTCAACCACTATCCCCCCTTCTCTGCTCGTCCCGGCAGGCTGCTGTTGCTTGCCATGGGCTGCGCCACAGGGTCAGGGCTGGCTGCCCCACTGCGGGCACGTTGATGCTTCGCTCTTCCTCCATTCTTTCCTCTCAGGCACCTCATAAACTCTTTCTTGCTCCCTTCCTCCTCCCCCTCAACCTCACTTCCCGCATGCCACTCGTTGTCCTGGCAGGCTGCTGTTCTTCGCCATGGGTTGCGGCACGGGGTCAGGTCTCACTGCCATCAACAACCTGGCGCAGGTGAAAAGGGGGAGGAGGATGGGATGCGGTTGGGGAGAGGAGTGAAGGGAGTGGGAGAGCAAGAGGGTCCAGGGGGACTGCCATCAACAGCCCGGCGCAGGTGGGGCGAAGAAGTGGGGGAAGTAGGGATGCGGTTGGGGAAAAGAGGGGAGGAGGAGGGAGCGGGGGAGAGAGAGGGTCCGGGCTCACTGATATTGACATACTGGCACAGGTGTAAGGGGTGGTGGGGGGAGGAATGCGGAGATGTGAGGGCAGTACACTTGGGTGCAGGTGGGTGCAGATGGGTGGGTGGGGAATGAGGGGCGTGGGATAAGGGGGATGCCCTTCACCTCTAGAGGGACAGTGGAAGCACGGAGCACTGCAAAGAAGACACCTTGCTGTGGAAAGGCATGGAGCGATATTCAAGTGCAGATGCTGTGGAGAGGCCACCTTGCACGTAGGTAGGCCGACCCTGCATAGCACCGGGAAAATTCGCAGCTGAGAAGGATGCATTCGAATGCCATCCACTCCCTAACAAGCGGCCAGCCCATGCCTTCTCCGCCCCATTGTCCATACAACCCGCCATGCCTTCTCCGCCCCATTGTCCATACAACCCGCCATGCCTCTTCCTGCCGCTATCCTTTCTGACTTACCCCTCAACTGCCTTTCTGCTTAGCCTTCTGCTGTCCCTCTCCCCCTCTCCCTTCTGCTGGCGTCCAGGTGCCTTGCTGCTCTCATCAACGCCCAAGGTGACTTGCGAGTCGATTCATAGCTTTTCTACAGCCCAAACGCAAAAAATGCCCCCCCTTCTGGTTCCGCTTCTCCTTGTCTCCCTGTCTCCTTCGCCCCCATCAGGTGGCGGAGTCGCTGGGCTCTGCAAGCGTGGGTGCGCTGGTTGCTCTCGTCAGCATCTGGAACTTTCTAGGAAGGATGGCTGCAGGGTAGGTCGGTTCGGCTGTTCACTAGGCTCGTTTTTCGTGTGCCCCGTATCTGCCGTGCCATGTGGCTCGTGATTCTTTATTACTCGTAAATCTCCCGTCTCGTGTTCTCATTCGGCCCACCCGCATGCACCAGCAATGAGGGACACGTTTCACCGCACCACACCATCTCCTTCATTTTTCCTCCCCTTCCCTACACACCTCTCTCCCTCCGCCCTTCCCTCGCCCCCCACCCATGCGCCCACCCTACTTCCCCCCCCACTCCCCACCCAGCTATGAGTAGTGACCACCACTGCACGAGGGTACTCTGGCCACCACTGCTGACTGCACGAGCAGTGCTTGAAGCGCTGGAGCACGCCGCACCCACTCTGCATGCTGCTTAGCAAGTGACCTTCCCCTTTCTGCCCCCGCACCCCTCCCTTTCCCACCCTCACCCCTCCCCCACCCCCTTCCCCCCCAGGTACGTGTCAGAGCAGTGTTTGAAGCGCTGGTGCACGCCACGCCCGCTCTGCATGCTGCTCGTGCAGGCCGCCATGGGGTGCGCTCATCTACTCTTCAGCATCGGGGGTGAGTGGCATGGGGTGCTGTTCGGTAAGGTGCTGGTACTCTGGCCACCACTGCTGCTCGTGCAGGCAGCCATGGGGTATGCCCTCCTGCTCTTCAGCATAGGGGGTGAGTCGGTGTGCCTGCAACAGGTGCCAACTTCGGTGGTGTATGGGCTAAAGGCTGTGATTCTCTCACCACTACTGCTGCTGCAGGCCGCGGGGTGAGAACACCTGCGCTTCAGCATTGGCGGTGAGTTGCCTTGCCTGCTATGAAGTAACCATTGCCATGTATCTCTCCACTAGCACATTGCCCTGTATCTCTCCACTAGCACATTGCCCTGTATCTCTCCACTAGCACATTGCCCTGTATCTCTCCACTAGCACATTGCCCTGTGTCTCTCCACTAGCACATTGCCCTGTATCTCTCCACTAGCACATTGCCCTGTATCTCTCCACTAGCACACGCTCTGCTCCTCTACGCCGCAGCAGCACTGGTAAGCCGGCACAGAGGGAGCATGCATGATTTGATCACTGCTGCCCCTCTACCTCCCAACCTGCTGCGTAACCCTGTCCTACGTGTGCGACGTGTCCCTCTACCTCCCAACCTGCATATGCAGACACGCTGCTGCTCTACCCAGCAGCAGCGCTGGTGGGCGCAGCACACGGGGCGCACTGGACGCTGATGGTTACCAGGTTACTGCCATTGCCTCATTGCCTCCAAACCTGCACGTTCCCCCTTCCCTGCAGACCCTCTGTTGCTCTACCCAGCAGCAGCGCTGGTGGGCGCAGCACACGGGGCGCACTGGACGCTGATGGTCACCACTGCATCGGAGCTGTTCGGGTTAAAACACTTTGGGGCGCTCTACAATACACTCAGGTGAACACAGATGTGTTGGGTGGGCGCGGCATGGTGGGGGCGGCACACGGGGCGCACTGGACGCTCATGGTGACCACTGCGTCTGAGCTCTTTGGGCTGAAACACTTTGGCGCGCTTTACAACACACTCAGGTGAAGAGAACCTCTCAGGTGAAGAGAACCTCTCAGGTGAAGAGAACCTCTCAGGTGAAGAGAACCTCTCAGGTGAAGAGAACCTCTCAGGTGAAGAGAACCTCTCAGGTGAAGAGAACCTCTCAGGTGAAGAGAACCTCTCAGGTGATTATGCAATGCACCGTCAGCCAAAGACCACTCTTTGTCTCTGCGACTGTATGTTCATTGCCCGTCCACTCTTTCTCCATCCAACCGTCAGTGCCTATTCGCCACAGTGCCTCTCCAGTTTGCTTGCGTGTGTCCCATCCTCCCCCCCCCGCCAATCCCCTCCCTTACCCTCCTTCCCCCCTTTCCCCCTCTTCCCCCCATTCACCCCCTGCACCCGCTTCCCCTACTTCTCATCCTCTTCCTCCCTCCCTCGTCCCCTCCACCAGCATATCAACTACAGTCGGCTCCTGCTGCCTCGCTGTCGAACCCCGCCATCTCCAAGCGTTGAGCCATCACTAAGCCCATATTCCCCCATTCATCCCGGTTTGCCTACTCTTTGCTTCCTCGTCCCCTCTGCCAGCATATCATCCACAGTATACTTTCACAGTATACAGCTAGCAACCCTCTCTTCTCCAACTTTTGAGACGTCACAAGCCCCCCTCTTTGTCCCTATTTCCCTACTCTTCCCTTCCTCCTCCTCCTCCCCTCTGCTAGCATATCATCCACAGTGGGCTCCTACTGCCTCTCTGTGAAGCTCGTCCATCTAAGCTTTGAGAGATCGCGCAGCCCGTCCTTCCCGTCTGCCCCAGTCTTCCTACTCATCTCTTCCTCTCCTCTCCCCCTCGTCTTCTCCTGCCAGTATATCATCCACAGTGGGCTCATACTGCCTCTCTGTCAAGCTCGCCGGCTACATCTACGACCGTCAATCCGCCATCCAACGGTCAGCCTTGCTCCACCTGCAAGGCCTCTCCTCCGCCTCCCCCTCCGTCTCTCCACCCACAATCGCCGCCATTGCCAACTGGGGCACAGAGGCAGCAGCAACAGCGGGGCAAGTAGGGGCAGCAGAGGCACAACTAGTCCTGGAAGATTCACAGCTAGCGGAGGCATCGCAACTGCCCCACCGGTGCATGGGGCCAGACTGCTTCCGCCTCACCTTCCTCGTCATGGCCCTCGTGTGCGCTGCTGGCATCTGTTCTCTTCTCAACCTCGTGTCCCGAACAAGACGCCTGTACCAGGTGAGGGGTAATGAGTGACCATAGTGCTAGCAGTAGGTGCAGCAGGGGAAGCAGAGGCTCAACTGATACGGCAGGCATCACTGCTACCCCACCGGTGCATGGGGCCGGACTGCTTCCGCCTCACCTTTCTTGTCATGCCTCTCATTTGCCTTGCTGGCATCTATGCCCTTCTGAACCTGGTGGCCCGCACAAGACGGCTGTACCAGGTGAGGGGTGGGGTTTGAGGGGTGGGGTTTGAGGGGTGGGGTTTGTGGGTTGAGGGTTGAGGGGTGGGGATTGAGGAGCGAGCATCGGCTGAAGGGGTGCGCCTGCTTCCACTGCCTCACCTTCCTCGTCATGGCGATCGTGTGCCTGCTGGCATCTGTGCTCTTCTGAACCCTGTGACTCAAACAAGACGGCTGCACCAGGTGAGGGTTAAGGAGAGACCAGAGGGATATTAGGGGCTCCGCGTCTTCTGCCTCACCCCACCACTCTTTATCTTCCTACTCATGACCTTCGTGTGCCTTGCTGACATCCGTGCCCTTCTGAGCCTCGTGGTGCGTGCACGGCAACTGTACCAGGTGAGGGGTGGGGAGCGAGCATGGGCTCGAGGCGTTAGCAGCAGGTGAGTGTTTGCGTGTGTCTGCCTGACTGGCCTTGTGATGGTGCTCTCGTCTCGTGTGCCTTGCGGATACCTGCACCCTTGGAAGCCTGGTCGCGTGCACACAGCGATTATACCAGGTGAGGGGTGGGGAGGGGGGAGTGAGGGTGATATTTGATCGACTAAAAGCGGCCTGAGGTGGCTGTTTGCCAGTTGGGGATGAGGAGCAATCAGAAGGCCACCTGGCGGCAAGGAGCAATCAGAAGGCCACCTGGCGGCAAGGAGCAATCAGAAGGCCACCTGGCGGCAAGGAGCAATCAGAAGGCCACCTGGCGGCAAGGAGCAATCAGAAGGCCACCTGGCGGCAAGGAGCAATCAGAAGGCCACCTGGCGGCAAGGAGCAATCAGAAGGCCACCTGGCGGCAAGGAGCAATCAGAAGGCCACCTGGCGGCAAGGAGCAATCAGAAGGCCACCTGGCGGCAAGGAGCAATCAGAAGGCCACCTGGCGGCAAGGAGCAATCAGAAGGCCACCTGGCGGCAAGGAGCAATCAGAAGGCCACCTGGCGGCAAGGAGCAATCAGAAGGCCACCTGGCGGCAAGGAGCAATCAGAAGGCCACCTGGCGGCAAGGAGCAATCAGAAGGCCACCTGGCGGCAAGGAGCAATCAGAAGGCCACCTGGCGGCAAGGAGCAATCAGAAGGCCACCTGGCGGCAAGGAGCAATCAGAAGGCCACCTGGCGGCAAGGAGCAATCAGAAGGCCACCTGGCGGCAAGGAGCAATCAGAAGGCCACCTGGCGGCAAGGAGCAATCAGAAGGCCACCTGGCGGCAAGGAGCAATCAGAAGGCGGCAATGCACTCCTTGACGCTGCCGCACCTTCCTCTTCCTGTCAATCCGATCTGAAGAGCACAGGAGGGAATTCACGTCACAGGGGTATTGCGCTCGTTGCGTTCAAGTGGAGAATTGCAAGCGATGTGGCTGGTGCTGAGATCGCATCTCAAGTCCAAGACTTTCGGTGCACTGCCAAAGGGCTGGGTGCATGGGCTTGAACAGGAGAAGGGTGCATGTGGCACACATGGAAGTTCTGTACCTTCCCTTGCCATGCATGCACACACCACACACACAGCACGCCAAACACTGCACTCTGTACTCTGTACTCTGCACACGCATGCACATGTGTGTGCAGCCTGCACGTGCAATCATGTGTGCGTGCGCACACATCAACACGTACAGACGTCGCATGCCCACGCATGCAGGAATGGCTCTCTGTATCCCTCCCCACTTGCTCTCTCCTTCATGTGTGCCTTGCCCTCCTCTGTTCCTTCCGTCCCCATTCAGGAGTTCCATAAAGTGCAGAGAAGCTGAGCATTGCTGAAGCAGGGATGCCAGTGCATTGTCACTGTTTTTCTACATGCTTAACATGTACCATACTTTCAAATGTATATCCATGTAATTATAATTTCTGTGCCCATTTTACCTCAAACATATGCTGGAAAGCTTTGGTGGAATGAATGCAAGGCTTTTGCTGAAAGCTTACAAATACAGGAAAGGAAGCAACAGCAGGAAATAAGCACCAACGAACATTACAAAATTATCAGAGTAACTACTAGCTCGCGTGGGCACTTGTGTTGCTCCTTACATCCCTAACCTTCACCCGTCTACAATTGCATTGCTCCACGTGCAAGTGCTAACCGCTCTGTATGCTCCAACAGCACCTGCACAACATAGTGAAACATTCGACAAAACATAGTGAAACATTCGACGAAACATAGTGAAACATTCGACAAAACATAGTGAAACATTCGACAAAAAATAGTGAAACATTCGACAATACATAGTGAAACATTCGACGAAACATAGTGAAACATTCGACAAAACATAGTGAAACATTCGACAAAACATAGTGAAACATTCGACAATACATAGTGAAACATTCGACAAAACATAGTGAAACATTCGACAAAACATAGTGAAACATTCGACAAAACATAGTGAAACATTCGACAAAACATAGTGAAACATTCGACAAAACATAGTGAAACATTCGACAAAACATAGTGAAACATTCGACAAAACATAGTGAAACATTCGACGAAGCATGGTGAAACTAACCAAACCAGGGTAGATTCTTTGGAAAAGAACCAGCCACTGACGTTACTCCCTCATCCCCCCCACCTTTCAAACAGCATCGTCTATGCAACGAGATCCCACCTGTCTCATGCGGTGCGCGATGGCCTTGCAGCCCGTGACTGCGAGCTTCACCACCTCCTCAAACGTGTCCATTGGGAGCTTGGCGTCCATCTGTGGCACAAGTGGCAGATGCAGCGGGGCGTGAGAGATGATAGAAGCAAGGCGTTACACAGACAAACTTCACCAACCAACTCCTCAAATGTGTCCATGGGCAGCCTCTCATTCATCTGCAGCAGAACAGGGCATTGGTGGGAGGGCAGACAGGCACAGGGAGTCATGGCTGCTTGGAGCTCAAAGGAGTGAGTCAAGTGCGAGAGGAGCGGGCACTGGACAGCTTCACGACCTCCTCGAAGGTTCCATTGGCAGCTTAGCTTTCTGTGGCAACGCAGGGCATTGGCAAGAGGGCAGACACAAAAGCAGCGAGTCACAGGCGACAGGAGCGCGCACCAAACAGCCTCACCACCTCCTCGAATGTGTCCATGGGCAGCTTGGCGTCCATCTGTGGCACAGCTACGCGCGAGGAGGGCAAGTGACGCAAGTGGGAAATGCGTCAGATGCGGCAGTGGAAGCAGGAGATGAGGAGGGAGGGAGCCCTGGCACAGTATCACCCATGACTGTATGCAGCCGTGACTGCAAGCGATCATCGGGCCGCCAGGCGAAAGCACACATGCAACAGGGCGATCTTATCCGACAATGGCAAGTGGCCCACTGTGACGTCCATGATTGTGATACTTGTGACCAACCAACACCTGTGCCTTGTGCAGCCATAAGCGCAAGCCATCCCACCTGCAGCAACCCCATCTGCTGCAGCGAGATCTTTTCAGACGATGGCAAGTAGCCAACTGTGACGTCCATGATTGCATTACCCATGATTTTATTATCCGTGACTGTACAGGATGTGACTATATGCACGCAGCAATAAGTGCAAGCCATCCCACCTGCAGCAGTGAGATCTTATCGGACGATGGCAAGTACCCCACCGTGACATCTGGGCCGCCCCCACTGTCCTCCACGTAGTTCAGATCTGCCACGTGGGCAGAGAGAGGTGGAAGAAGGGTATGGGGCTCGGATGACAACTTTTGAGGCGCCTCAAAAGCTGCCCGCGCTGTCCTCCACGTAGTTCAGATCTGCATGGTGGGCAGAGAGAGGTGAAAGAACATACGAGAGGAACGGCTTGCATTGGAGTCACTTTTGAGAATTCTCAAACGGGACGTCCGTGGCTGTCCTCCACGTAGTTCAGGTCTGGCAGGTTGGAGCAGAGAGGTGCGGGAATGGAACCAGCGGAGGAGACACAGCTGCCATGCAGTCACTGCACCTGCAGTCGCTGCACCTGCAGAGCTGTCGCCTCATTCATCGTGTTACCACACGCGGACGTGGCAGAGGTGGCAGTAACGGCAAAGGTGACAGTAACGGCAGAGGTGGCACCTACGGGACCATTCACCAGCAGCCACAGGCCCACAGGTTCCGTGCTTCATGCCACTGATGCAACCGATTGCCTAGCTGGTACTCTAGTTGTAAATGAGCTGAGATATGGCAGAGGGGTGGCAAGTGAGGCTGCTGAGGTGGCACCCTATGATCTTGACAATGGCAACCCTTCCCCTGGCAACCACCCCCACCACACCACCTGGCAACCACCCCCACCACACCACCTGGCACCCCACCTAGCAGTGCACCTGTCAGTGCACCTGTCAGTGCACCTGGTAGTGCACCTGGCAGTGCACCTGGCAGCCTTCTCACCTAGCAGCGGAGTGGCGTTGAGGTAACCAGAGGCGCAGCTGGTAACCAGGTCTCGCATGGGGATGCCTGCATGGCACAGCGCGAGCGATGCCGCATTGATGCATGCGGAGCGAGTGCCTGGGGTGGAATGGAGGGGCAGGGAGAGTGTGGGCGGGTATGTGATGTGATGTGATGTGATGTGATGTGATGTGATGTGATGTGATGTGATGTGATGTGATGTGATGTGATGTGGCAGCGCGAGTGGAATTCGATGGGGGTGTATAGGTAACGTGTGCGGCAAGGGCTAGATGGGAACCGCGAGAGAGAGCATGGAAACGGGTGTGCTGGGGGGGAATGAAGGGGAGAAAGTCTGCATCCTGTTGGGTCAAGTGGAAACATGTTTCTGTGTGAACAGGCTCATCAACTTTGAAGGATGAGATGAGATTCCTCGAGAGGGATTTAAATGGATTGACTTTGAATTTTCCTTTAAATGAAGGATCCGATTCCACGAGGGGTTTTCAATGGAATGAGGCTGTAACACACGCACCGCACAAAACCAGAAGCCATCCGCTTATGTAAACAAGATTATGACGGGCACTCCAAAAGTTCAAACGCAAACACCAAAGATACATGACAATTCAATTGATGGAAGATAGTAATGATGGGTGACTAGAAAGGTGGACAGAGGACGGTGAGGTTGGAGGAAAAGGGATGGATGAAAGAGGCGAAGCGGCCATCCCAGCATGACTTACCGCCATCGGCTTGCAAGACTTGAACAAAGATGTCGATCTGCAGTGTGCAGCGAGAGATAGGGGACATACTGGAATGAGATGGAGTGCTGACGTGTTATGAGGAGAGAGGCAAGACGAGAGGAGGGCATGAGCCCCCATCCTGCGTGCGAGACCAGCACGGTGATAATGTAATCAGCGGTGACCAGAACAGTAATTAGCAGTGATATGTAATCAGAACCCCCACCACATACAGCCATGCTTCCCCTCTGTGTGAGGCAGTATGTTATGTCACTTGTGTGCCAGAGACAAACACACATCACCGCTGCACATCACCACACATCACCGCACATCACCGTTTAGGACTCACCTGTGTCCGTGGTAGGAGCTCGAGCATGATGGCTGCTTCTAGTGTTTGGCGGATGACCAATGATATCTCAACTGAACGCCTGATACAGTCACATGCAAGCAGTCACATGCACGCAGTCACATGCACACACAATCACATGAACACACAGTCACATGCACGCACAGTCACATGCAGTCACAGTTACATGCACACACAATCACATGCACTCACAGTCACATGCACTCAGTCATATCCACACACGTACACACACACTCTGTCTTCTCCCCTCCTCCCTCAACACACGCACAAACACACACACGGACCGAGTGGCACATAGGGGACCTAGTGAGATATGTTAGCTGGTCCAATGTCCATACACACACATGCCAGTAGAACCACCCACATGCCCACACCACATAGCCACATGCCCAGATAGCCATATGCGCATAGCATACCATAGTTTACCACACCACAAGACAGAACTGACCCATGCCATACCCATCCATCCCATGCCCGCAGCCCGTCGGTTCATCTTCCCGCATTGCTGCCGCTCCCCTGTGCTGAATGCCAGCCACCATACATACCATACCACACTCACACCACATGCCACGCCCACACATTCAGTGCCAGAACCTGCACCCACCGGTCCATCTTCCCCCGTCGCCGTCTCTCCCCCGTGCTGAAGGCAGCCATGCCATACTCACACGGCATGCCACGCCATGCCCACCATGCCGACACATTCAACGCCACACCCCACACCCACCGGTCCATCTTTCCTCGCCGCCGTCTCTCCCCCGTGCTGAAGGCAGCCATGCCATACTCACACGGCATGCCACGCCATGCCCACCATGCCGACACATTCAACGCCACACCCCACACCCACCGGTACATCTTTCCTCGCCGCCGTCTCTCCCCTGTGCTGAATGCTGCCATGCCATACTCACACACACCGCATGCAACGCTATGCCCACCACGCCGACACATTCAACGCCACACCCCACACCCACCGGTCCATCTTCCCTCGCCGCCGTCTCTCCCCCGTGCTGAAGGCAGCCATGCCATACTCACACACACCGCATGCCACGCCATGCCCACCACGCCGACACATTCAACGCCACACCCCACACCCACCGGTCCATCTTTCCTCGCCGCCGTCGCTCCCCTGTGCTGAATGCCGCCATGCCATACTCACACACACCGCATGCAACGCTATGCCCACCACGCCGACACATTCAACGCCACACCCCACACCCACCGGTCCATCTTCCCTCGCCGCCGTCGCTCCCCTGTGCTGAATGCCGCCATGCCATACTCACACACACCGCATGCAACGCTATGCCCACCACGCCGACACATTCAACGCCACACCCCACACCCACCGG